CAAGCCTCCTGAAATCTAGTGCCTACGTGCAGGGCTTGGCTAATCCTTCTATTGTTAATCAATTGTGACCGTTTTATTTTTAAACTTCTCTGTTTCTCACATTACCGAGACAAGGGAGATCTTTTAAATTACAATTTATTTGAAACGTTTCAACTAAAAAGGATTCTCTTACTGATTGTTAGAGAGACAGAGAGAGAGAAAACACAAAGGGGAGAAATCACACTGTCCCTTTTTATAGTTTGCATAATAAAAAAAGTACATTAAAAGGTTTTGATTGGGTAGGGAAAAGTCATCTGTCTAGTTGTATCATAAGAATGAAAACATCGAATAGTATGTTAGCAACTAAGATTGAAAAGAGCATTTTGCTCTGGATAACAGCAGAAGAAACATTTGCAAAGAATGGATATAGATAAGATACATTCTCAACATTTCCCACCATTGAGCTCAGTTCAGGTAGTCCTCGACTTAACAATAGTTCATTTAGTGACCATTCAAAGTTACGACACTGAAAAATGTGACTTAGTTTTTCACAGTTATGACCTTTGCAGCATCCCCCTAATCGTGATCAAAATTCAGATGCGTGGCAACTGGTTCATACTTATGACCGTTGCTGGGTCCCAGGGTCACGTGATCCCCTTTTGCTACTTTCTAACAAGCAAAGTCAGTGGGGAAGCCAGATTCACTTAACAATCAGGTCGCTAACTTATCCACTGCAGTGATTCACTTAACTGCAGCAAGAAAGGTCATAGAAAGGGACAAAACTCAATTAACAAATGTTTCACTTAACGACAGAAATTTGGGGCTCAGTTGTCGTAAGTCGAGAATTACCTGTACTCACTTTTGTTCATGGAGGTTTAAGAACAGCTGAACATGAAACTGTTATCTACAAAGTACTGACTGGTGCCTTGCCACTCCTGGTTTCTAAAAGGGAGGTTTTTTTTCAAGGTTAAAGCTTATGGCAAATCATTTGCTATACATTTTGAAAAGAGCAAATTTAAAATACAAGAAAACCCGTTAGTTGGCGAGTGTAACAGTACTACAAAAACCATATTGCAAGTATTACAAAGTCCATGTGGGGGTGAATTTGGGGCCCGTCAAAGCCCCTGGCTTGATCCAGATCAAGAAGGTGGGCATCTGTTCGGGTTGGTAGTAGAGAAATAATTTGCAGGATCTTATCCCGTGGCTAAGTTTGTTGCAAACTGAAGCGCCAGATCTTCCAAAATCACCTTTTGAATTTTTTTCTGGCAAAGCTTATTCAAAAATGAAACAAGAAAACCTATTAATCTATCAGACATACTTTTCCTTTGGTGCCTAAGTTAAAAAAAAATCCTGCTGTCTTCCTTCAATTTCTATAGGAAACGTTAAAATTATAGGTATTCAATAAATTGAATTGAAAAAAGAAACCCAGTCCTAGGCCTTCAGCTGGGTTTTATAAAACCTTTTTGCTTTAGGCCTCCGCCGCTGTGTGCAAAAAAAAAAAAGGTTCAATCAATCAGTCAATTTCAACTTCTGGCGGGAAAAAAAAAGATTTTGCAAAGTTGGAATTGATTGAACTTTTTAGTCCCACCCAGTCTGCTGGGGCGATGGCATGCGTGCCCACAGAGAGGGCTCTGAGTGCCGCCTCTGGCACCCGTGCCATAGGTTCGCCACCACTGCCATAGCCAGAGCGGCCATCGCCAAGAATTCTGGGAGTGGATGATCACTCCTCTAAAAGCTGCTTAGGATGGGAAACACCGGCTTTGAAGCAAAGGGAATGAGTTCGCAGCTCGTTTAAGACTATCCTGTGGGCATGTACAGAGTTCTTGTCTTCTTGTCGTTTCTTGACAGGGAATCAGCCGTCTAGTTCTTCTCACCAGCATTTCATCGACTGGTTCAGGGAGCAGCTGATTCAGCGAACTACCACAGTGGAACAAATGTTGGATAAATTGCATGGTTCCATCCTAAGCGAAGAACAATACCAAAGAATCTGCTCGCGGGAAACTAATCCGGCAAAAATGCGAGAGCTCTATAAGTTAGTTCCTGGCTGGAGCCGCCTGTGCAAAGATCAAATGTACAATGCACTGGAGGCCATAAATCCATTTCTCATCAAAGACCTAGAAGGGAGATGAAGCAACAAGGAAGATGGAAAATTAAACCATTTTTCCGGAAGCCTGGCATTCTGACGAACCGGCCATTAATGGACACCCAGACGCAAATAACATCTACATACAGTGCAAAAGAGATAATCAAAGATCCCAAAAAGGAACAAAAAGACCAAGACAGCTCCCTACCAGCAATCAACATCTAGATGAGCATAGATTAACATCAAGATTAACATCGGATCAACAATCAAGAAGTAAACAATATCCTAATCAAGGAACTGCCAAACAAGCTAACAGTAAACAGCCCAACCAAAAAACCTCCAAGACTCACCTCCCCCAACACTGACAGGACAAGCCACTAGAACAGGGCTTTTCAACCTTTTCACCCATTGTACCACTTTTAGGATATGGCAATCCTAGGCAACCAGTCGCCTAGCAAGGTGTCAAAATTTATTCAATATTTATTGTGATTTTTATTATTGCCTGTTCACCGCCCTGAGTCCCGTAAGGGAGATAGGGCGGTATATAAATTTAAATAATAAATAAATAAATAAATAAATGAATGAAACTTGATGACCCCCCCCAAAAGAGGAAAAAGTGATAAAGTACAGGTAGTCCTCGAGTTACAACAGTTCGCTTAGTGACTGTTCGAAGTTACAATGGCACTGAAAAAAGTGCCCCCCAAGCCACAGCCAAGCAAGACACCTGCCTGCCCACCCGGCGGCGCTCTTTCTCCTGTCCGAGGTTTTCATTGTGAGCATTTCTGTTGAGGATTGGCAGTGGGGGTGGGGGTGTTTGGTTTTTATTCCCTCTGCCTGCTGGGTGGTTGCAGCAGGTTTTGGTCACTTCTCATGACCATGGGACACTGTGACCGACACAGTTAAATCGAAACAAAAATGTTCAAGAATTGACCTGTATATAAAGTCTACGTCCATGAAATCCTGTAAGTTTGGAATTTTTGGACATTCCTTCAGTTTCAGCTCCTCCTACCAGAGTAATTAGGGAGCAGCTGCTGGGGGTCCCCATCTACCAGAAGGTAAATGGGAGAGGGCCTAACAGTGGGAATTCTTTGCAGAAGATCTGTCTGGAAAATTTTGGTCCCTGAAGCAAAGATGACCCCTCTTCTCATGATCTGCTGGAAGCAAGTGAAAACATGGCTTGTCTGAAGGCCTCCAGGCATTAGCCTTGGAATGTACTACTCTTGGCATTGAATTAAATTGAAGATTCAGATTTAGATCTATTTTAATAGAATAGAATAGAATAGAATAGAATAGAATAGAATAGAATAGAATAGAATAGAATAGAATAGAATAGAATAGAATAGAATAGAATAGAATAGAGCTGGAAGGGACCCTAGAGGTCTTCTAGTCCAGCCCCCTGCTCAAGCAAGAGGACCTATACCATCTCAGATAGGTGATTGTCCAGTCTCTTTTTAAAAACTTCCAGCAATGGAGTGCCCACATTTTCTAGGGGTAAGCTGTTCCACTGGTTGGTTGTCCTCACTGTCAGGAAGTTTCTCCTTAATTCCAGGTTGCTTCTCTCTTTGATCAGCTTCCAACCATTGTTTCTCGTCCTTCCCTCTGGTGCTCTGGTGAATAACATGACCCCCTCTTCTTTGTGGCAGCCCCTCAGATACTGGAATACTGCTATCATGTCTCCCCTATTTCTTCTTTTCTTTAGACTGGCCAAACCCAAGTTCCGCAGCCGTTCTTTGTAAATTTTGGTCTCCAGGGCTTTGATCATCTTAGTTGCTTCTTCTATGTAATTATTATATAGATTGTGCATTGTGTTGTATGTTTATGTAAGCTGTCTTGAGTCCATTCACTTCTGGGGGCGGAGGATTCCATTAATAAATAAACAAGCGTAGACTACAGAAGATATTACTGTGCTGTCAATTGGGCAATCGGATTTTATAAAAGGATGATAATATGACATTAGACGACATTTTGTGGGGGTGGCGATGGCTCAGTGGTTAAAGACGCTGAGCTTGGAAAGCTGACATCCTGGGTTTGAGTCCCACGTACCGGGCAATGGGGTGAGCTCCAGTTTCTTGCTCCAACTCCTGCCCACCTGGCAGTTTAAAAGCATGCAAATGCGACTAGATAAATAGGTACCACTTTAGTGGGAAGGTAATAGTGCACCGTGTGCCTTTGGCATATAGCCATGCTGGTCACATGATAATGCAAAATGTCTTCGGACAACACTGGCTGCCTTGGCCTAGAAACAGATGACCAGGGCTTTTCAACCTTTTCACCCATTGTACCACTTTTAGGATATGGCAATATCCAAGTACCACCAGTCGCCTAGCAAGGTGTCAAAAACTGGATGACCAACAAAAAAAAAGGAAAAAGGAAAAAAGTGATGAAGTACAGGTAGTCCTCGACTTACAATAGTTCGCTTAGTGACTGTTCGAAGTTACAATGGCACTGAAAAAAGTGCCCCCCAAGTCACAGCCGAGCAAGACACCCGCCTGCCCGCCCGGCCGTGCTCTTCCTCCTGTCCAAGGTTTTCATTCTTGTGAGCATTGAGGATTGGCAGCGGGGGTGGGGTGGGGGGGATGTTTGGTTTTTATTCCCCCTATCTGATGGGTGGTTGCAGCAGGTTTTGGTCGCTTCACATGACCCTGGGACACTGTGACCGTCATAAATATGAATCAGTTGCCAAGCATCTGAATGTAAATCACAAGATCCTAGAGATGCTGATCGGTGCTTCTTCTGGGCTCAGCAGAAGCGCCAGGATCAGCGCCGAGCTCCAGCTGGAGCCTGGCGCTGATCCTGGCGCTTCTGCTGAGCCCTGACAGCCCTGCAGCTCCAGCCATCTCTCGCTCAGGCTTGTGCGGTGCTGCCACCGGTTCAGCTCATTCCCCTCCCCCACTACCACTTTTCTAGGATGGTCACGAACCACCTGCCAGGTGCCAATGTACCACAGGTGGTACCCGTACCACTGGTTGAAAAGCCCTGCCCTAGAGTCGGACACGAATGGACAGGGAAACCTTTACCTGGTTGACATTTTAGGTAAGCATTCAGAAAAATAACAATAGCTGCTATTTATACTATCCTGTGTTTCCCCTAAAATAAGATTGGGTTTTATATTAATTTTTGCTCCAAAAGACACATTAGGGCTTATTTTTCAGTTAGGGCTTACATTCGGGGAAATATGGTACTAAATGTGTCCGTCTGGCTGACAATCTTAACTGGGGCTTATTTTTGAGGTGGGGCTTATATTACGAGCGTCTGGTAAAAATCATGTTAGGGCTTATTTTCCAGTTGGGTCTTATTTTCTGAGAAACACGGTATTATAATATAAACCAGTGTGTATCAACTTCAACAACTTATGTGGACTTCATGTCCCAGAAACTGGCTTACAATTAGCCAGTCTTAGAGTATTTATGTTTTCTATTTATGTATTTATTATTTTTAAAAATAACTCAAGGTGGTGAACATATCCAACATATTTTCCTCCTCCTATTTTCCTCATAACAACCCTGTGAGGTGGGTTGGGCTGAGAGAGAGAGAGAGTGACTAGCTCAAAGTCACCCAGCTGGGTTTTGTGATTAAAGCAGGACTAGAACTCACAGTCCCTCGTTTTCTAGCCTTATACCTAAACAGTATAATTTTTGAAGGCATAAAAAAGCGTTTTGGAGCAACCTTTTGCTAAGTACACGTTTCCTTTTTTTTAATTAAGTGGAGTACAATGTGTTATTATAATACATTGTAATATAATAACACATTGTAATCTGTAGGATTGCAAATGGAATTATTGCTTCATTTATTTATTTGCTTGGTGCAACTCATCAAGGATATCTTTTATCTCCACTCATTTCACAATGGAACTACTAGCCTATCTTATCATGCCAATTCTGTGTAGAAAATGGTGGGAGGTCAACATAAATTGTGGTTGTATGTGATGATACATTATATTGCATCTTATTGACCAATACAGATGTACTATACCAAAACAAATTAACAAACACTCTTGATAAATTGATAAATTTGAGAGCCAGTTACAGGCTTTTAGTTCTTTTTGGAATCCAGCTTTGATAAATGAAGTAAGAGCCAAAACTTTTTCGTAGCAGCTTCTCGTGACATGGAACCCAGCCTGAAAAGAAGGGACAACCATATCAACAAGTTGGCATATGCTATTATAGAGTAATTGTTCCAGAGCTTTATAAGAAACCTATACACTAGGACAGACATGTCAAACACAAGGCCCGGGGGCCGGATGCGGCCCGTGAAGTGGTTTCATGTGGCCCGTGAAGCCATCCTGGAAACAGTGAGGGAACAGCCCCCGCTGCCTTGGCCCAGGCCAGCCAGGAGCCAATGTACAATTTTGTGGTGGCCATCTATGCTGAAACGCATTCAGTCTTAGCTCCACAAGGCTGTCTGGAAACAGTGAGGAACCAGGAGAACCTTGAGCAGCAGCCTTGAGGAAGTGGGGCTGGGCTTGGTGCCGCGGGTGCTCAAGGGCCAGGCTGGGCATTTGACCTCTGCTGCCCAGGGCTCCGGGCAGCCCGCACCACCATCCAGCCCCCCCCACATGGCCTGAGAGGAACAGTGAGGCTCCTCCAGTGGACCATGCCTTGGCACTTGCCCTGGTCCCACCCCCTTCTGCCAGAGACCCTCAGATCTGTCCCACTCCTGCCCAGGCCCCCACAGGCACCCTTGGTGCGAACGATGTAGAGCTGGCCATGCCCACCCAGTAGGCCACACCCACTGCATCCACGCCCACCCAGTAGGCCTCACCCACCCTGGCCACACCCACCCAGCCCTCTGAGGGCAACCGCAATGCTGATGCGGCCCTCAATGAAATTGAGTTTGACACCCCTGCACTAGGACAAACCTGTACACTAGGGCAATTTTTTAAAAAAAAATTTAATCCATAGCTGAATAAGGGTGATGGGTATTTTGAGCCAGCAGATTGCCAGTTGTATTTTTAAACCCTTTGACCTACTGCAAGAGGAAATGAGCTGTCTACAACTGTAGAATAGCAACTGTTGAAAAAAAATACCTTAAGAAGAAGAAGAAAACAAAAAACAAAAACTCCAACACCCTTCTTCTTCCAGGGGTCTTTCTGAGTTTGGTGGTTTTCTTGCAGACATTTCATAATCCAAACTAGGTTACATCATCAGTGCCAATGTTATCTAGTTTGGGTAATGAAATGTCTGCAAGAAAACCAACAAGCTCAGAGAGCACCAAGGATCCTAAAATAGAAATAGAAATACCATAGAAATAGAAATAGAAATGTTCCTTATTGGCCAAGTGTGATTGGACAGACAAGGAATTTGTCTCCTGCCCATAAGCTCTCAGTGTGCATGCAAGCAACAAGTGATAAATCATGATCATAATCATAAAATACAATCATCATAAATCATAAGATACAACACTCAGTGATGCATAGGATACTAAATAAAACCAATCAACATAAATCATAATAGGATCCTAAATAAAAGCAACCTTGAGCGACAAATATTCCCCTTTATTGGTATCCTTCTTCCTTCTTTGCCCTAGGGTCCTGAGATTGGCGTCCATTCCTCTATTCATTCCTCTAGTCTAGTCTATACATTAAAAGTCTCCAAAATTTTATTAAGATTCTGCAGACTCTTAAAATTCCCCCATTCTAAAAGGACACAGTTTTTGGCACTTTTTTTTTGGCAGCTGCAAAACAGGCAGGGAATCAAAGTAAGCAGATTTCCTCCACGAATATATATATATATATTTAAAAAAGGCTATTCTCGTTCTTCATAATGCATCCGAAGCAAAGTCCTCATTCCCGCCCTTCCCGGTCCTTAACTAGAGTGTTTCCTTTGGTTTCCTAGCAACCGCCCCCAAGATTCTCTCCCGCCCCTCTCTCATTCCCCCCCTGCATCATGTGAACTTCAAGGATATGACGTCATCACTGGGTTCCCTCTATCATTCTGTAGGCATTACCGATTTGCAAAGCCGCAGGATTGTTATAACTGTCTGGTGTTTTGCAACTGCTCTCTGATTGTGCCTTAGGAAAAGAAAAACAAAAGTGTGAGGATCTCGCAAAATCCCGTCTCCCAGGATACGAGGACGATCTTGAGATGGAAGGGGAGCATTTAGGAGGGACGCAAGCAAGGGAGAAATCCGGAGACAAAGGTAAGAAGAAAGGTCTCATCTAACGAGCCTGGAGCCATTGGAAGCGGAGCGGAGAAAACAGACAGAAGCTGCTGCTTTCTTTTATACGAGGTTATAACCTCTGAAAATAAGGGATCAGTTTTAAGAGCTCCTTTCTGTCTAGGCAAGGCAAAAATCACCGAGCAAGCTGGTGCAATTTATTAGTATCCAAATTATGCAAGATTTTTTTAGTTATATGCGACTCTTCTGCAGGCTCGCTGTGTACGGCTTGAAAACTTGATGTAGTCTTGAAAAAAGCCAGGAAAGTGGAAATCAGAATAATATTCGGCTCTGTATATCAGAACTAGGTTTTTAAGCTGTATATCTGACAGGAAGACATTTGGGGGAGTTGAGAAATGAGGAAGTCAGACAGGGGAGATGGAAGGGATATTTTAAAACAGGAGTGTTTTAAACGAAGACGACAGGCAGCACATTAATTTATTCATATATTATGTATTTTTAATTTATGCTCTCCATATGGGGTTACGATTCTTTCTTTCTACTGATTCTGTACCACAATGGAAGAACAATTGGCTGGTTAGAAAAGCTGAAATATAGGAAAACGTTTAAATAGATTATTTAGTTGCCCAAGGCTCCAGCATGCCAGGAATTGCAGAGATGCAGCTGTTTGAAATCTGCAAATTTTTCTGTTTCCTCTTTTGAAACCTGTGCCGGTTTGCTGCACTATGCTAAAAAGATTCAGGATTGGGAATGGTTCTTAGCATCTGCTTGTTTAATTGCTACACTAAAGGCTTCCCGCCCCCCAAGCCCTATAAATTAAATTCTGCAGGCTGAGTGCTCAACTTGCATTCAGTTTCAACCAGCTAGTGATAGCGTGATGCACTGAGCCACAACCTGGTATATCACATGTCAGCCTGGCATGCAGTGTAGTGGTTCACTCTGTTGTGCAGACCCAGAAAATTAGATTGGCCAATCTAAGTTGTGTTACGATGCGATGCCATACACTGCCTGCCTTCTGATTACTGTAAAAAATTATCTGCCATGTTGAGATGCACTTTCTGTAATTCTGCTTTCTATTATTTGGATTTATGTTCTCAATGAAGGATTCCTGGTTACAAGATCCTCTGTCTGCCTTGTGCTTTCTACAACTGAAAAACAATGTATGGATTTGTAGAAAGATTATGGGAGTGGTTAGAATATTTGTATCTCAGGGTTGAACTGTGAGGTCCTTGGTGTTCTCTGAGCTGAGTGGTTTTCTTGCAGATGTTTCATTACCTAATTAGATAACATCATCAGTGCAGAATCACAGAATAACACAATTGGAAGGGATCTTGGAGGTTTTCTAATCCAAGCAGGAAACCCCTATACCAGGGGTAGGCAACCTTGGCTCTTTTATGACTCTGGACTTCAACTCCCAGAATTCCTGAGCCAGCTATGCTATGCTACGCTGGCTCAGGAATTCTGGGAGTTGAAGTCCACGAGTCATAAAAGCCAAGGTTGCCTACCCCTGCACTAGACCATTTCAGACAAATGGTTGTCTAGTGTCTTCTTAAAAGCCTCCAGTGTTAGAGCACCTACAACTTCTGGAGGCAAGTTGTTCCACTGATTAATTGTCAAGATATTTCACCTTAGTTTTAGGTTCTCTCCTTGATGAGTTTCCATCCATGGCTTCTTATCCTGCCTTCAGGTGCTTTAGAGCAGGGCTTTTCAACCTTTTCACCCATTGTACCACTTTTAGGATACGGCAACATCCGAGTACCACCAGTCGCCTAGCAAGGTGTCAAAAACTTGATGACCCCCCCCAAAAAAGGAAAAGACTGATGAAGTACAGCTAGTCCTCGACTTACAACAATTCACTTAGTGACTGTTCGAAGTTACAATGGCACTAAAAAAAGTGTCCCCAAGCCACAGCCGAGCAAGAGACCTGCCTGCCCACCCGGCGGCACTCTTCCTCCTGTCCGAGGTTTTCATTGTTGTGAACATTTCTGTTGAGGATTAGCAGCGGGGGTGGGGTGGGGGTGTTTGGTTTTTATTCCCCCCGTCTGCTGGTGGTTGCAGCAGGTTTTGGTCACTTCACATGACCCTGGGACACTGTGACTGTCATAAATATGAATCAGTTGCCAAGCATCTGAATGTAAATCACAAGACCCTGGAGATGCTGCAACATTCCAGCTGATTGGTGCTTCTTCTGGGCTCAGCGGAAGCGCCAGGATCAGCGCCGAGCTCCAGTTGGAGCCTGGCGCTGATTCTGGCGCTTCCACTGAGCCCTGACAGTCCCGAAGAAGCACTGATCCTGGCGCTTCCGCTGAGCCCTGACAGCCCTGCAGCTCCAGCCATCTCTCACTCAGGCTTGTGTGGTGCTGCCACCGGTTCAGCTCATTCCCCTCCCCCGCTACCACTTTTCTAGGATGATCGCGTACCACCTGCCAGGTGCCAATGTACCACAGGTGGTACCCGTACCACTGGTTGAAAAGCCCTGCTTTAGAGAATAGGTTGATCCCCTTTCTGTGTGGCAGAAGTCCCTTAGATATTGGGACACTGCTATCAGTACATTGATAATGAAACAAAATTTCATTGATTTTAATGAAATTGGTAATGAAATGTCTGCAAGAAAACCACCAAGCTCAAAGAGCACCAAGGACTCCACCAGGCCGTGGGAGCTACATCATGTTATAATCCCCAGTGATCTGAGCCAGTAGCCATACTGGCTGGTGTTATGGAAAGTGCAGCCCATCATATCTGGAGACACCAACTTTGAGAAGGTTGTTTTAGCATTCCTTGCTCATTAAAAAGAGAAGCGTCACTGCCCTCCTCCCAAATATGCCCCATATTTAGGAAAACCTGGGATTTGGGCCACTGAAAACTGGAGTGGAAGGTTTGAGTGAAAAGGTCCCAGGGTGTCAAGGGAGCAAGTGTGTCGTAGACACCTGTTTTGGATACGAGATTACTTTCCATGCAAAAAATGGCTCCAGTTAGGACAGGGGTAGGCAACCTTGGCTCTTTTATGACTCATGGACTTCAACTCCCAGAATTCCTAAGCCAGCTATGCTGTGCTGGCTCAGGAATTCTGGGAGTTGAAGTCCATGAGTCATAAAAGAGCCAAGGTTGCCTACCCCTGAGTTAGGAGAAAGTGATATCTGTATACAGCTACTCCTCGACTTATGACAACAAGGCAGTTAAGTGATTTTTTTGTCCCATTTTACAACCTATTTTGCAGCAGTTGTTAAATGAATAACTGCAGCTGTTAAGTGAATCATGCGGTCACTAAGCCAATTTGGCTTCCCCCATTGACTTTGCTTGTCGGAAGCCAGCTGAATAGAATAGAATAGAAACTTTACTGTCACTTTAAATGTACACTAATCAGCATACATTAAAATGAAATTTTGTTGCATTCAGCTGTAAAAAAAAACCATTATGCATATACCCATGCACGTACGCATATATGACACAGAGAAATATCACAGTCCAGTTCGAATGTATAAATATACATGGCAAAAAAAAAAAAAAGAATCCTGCAAATTTACAAGACGGATGGCATAAGGAGCAAAGCTGTTACAGAATCTAGTAGCTTTGCTATAAATACTTCAAAGCCTCCTCCCAGAGGGAAGTAACAGGAACAGACCATGAAGTGGGTATGTGGTGTCCCTAACAATGCTTCGAGCTCTAAGCACGTAACACTTATAAGCAGCATCCTGAATAACGGGAAACGAGCATCCTATAATCTTCTCGCTGTCCTTACCACCCTCTGTATGGACCGTCTATCTGAGACACTACCACCATCAAACCAAACAGTGATGCATTTGTTAAAACGCTCTCAGTCATACCTCTGTAAAAAGTGGCCAGGACAGAAGGAAGAAGATGTGCTGGGATGGTTACAAATGGGATCACATGACCCCGGGATAGTGCAACTGTCATCAATTCATGCCAGTTGCCAAGCATTCGAATGTTGATCACGTGACCATGGGGAAGCTGCAATGTTCGCTAAGTGTGAAAATTGGTTGTAAGTCACTTCGTTCAGTGCCTTTGTAACCTCGCGCGGTCGCTAATTGAGTGACGGTAAGTTGAGAACTACTTGTTCTCTTTTTTTTTCTACTCTCTGCAGGTGTTGGGATTGGAAGTCTTCTTGAGATGGAAGATCTCCAGATGGAAGCCCCAGAGGGAAGGCTAGAGAAGCAGGACCTAGAAGCCACTCTGAACCTGGAGCAGAGAGGATTAATGCTGGGGAGTATGGAGAGAGAAGGAAGACCAAGAGGGGTCCTTAATGCAGACGGGAAAGAGCAGGCAGAGTTTGAAGTCCCCGATAGCTATTCGACAGCTGAGGATTGCCAAAACCAAGCCAAAGTAGAAGACCCGAGGTGGAGAAGCCAGGTGAGAAGACGCCGGATGAAAGAGGTTTCCCAGGATCCTCCAGGTTTCATCAACCTCCTGGGGATCCTGGAACCCCCACCGGCTCTTCCACCCACCGCGCCCCCCAGAGTAGTGAACAAGCCCTTCCATTGCACGGAGTGTGGGAAGAGTTTCTCGCAGAGCTCCGTGCTCATCGAGCACCAGAGAATCCACACAGGGGAGAGGCCCTTCGTGTGCAACGTGTGCGGAAAACGATTCTCCCAGAGCTCCACCTTGATGGGCCACCAGAGGATCCACACGGGCGAGAAGCCGTTCGCTTGCCCCAAATGCGGACGGGGCTTCAGCCGCAGCTCCGCTCTGACTGAGCACCAGCGCACCCACACGGGAGAGACCCCCTTCCCCTGCCGGGAGTGCGGGAAGGCCTTCAGCCGCACCTCCAACCTGGTGAAGCACTTGCGCACCCACTCGGGCGAGAAGCCGTACAGCTGCGCCCTCTGCGGGAAGCGCTTCTCGCTCAGCTCCAACCTGCTCAAGCACGAGCGCACCCACTCGGGGGAGAAGCCCTTCCCCTGCCCCCTCTGCGGGAAGCGCTTCAAGAAGAAGACCCACCTCGTCTCGCACAACCGCGTCCACACCGGAGAACGGCCCTACCGGTGCGAGGAGTGCGGGAAGTGCTTCTCCCAAAGCTCGTCTCTGATCGAGCACCAGAGGATCCACACCGGGGAGAAGCCCTACAAGTGTCCCCAGTGTGGCCGAGGCTTCTACGTCAACTCCAAACTGGTCAAACACCAGAGAATCCACACGGGGGAGAAGCCCTACGCCTGCTCGGCCTGTGGGAAAACTTTCCGATACAAGCAGCAGTTTCCCCGTCACCTGGCCCACGTCCACCCAGGGGAAGAGCAGGTTTCTGTCCTTAACTTGGGGACCAGTGTTAATATGCTACTCTCCTAGGGTGTGCCCCAGGGCCCGGCGGCTGGCCTTTAAGTACCAGGGCTCCCGTTCCAGTCAGAGGCAGAATCGTTGCCAAATATGGTTGATCCCCTAGAATAGCATCTTTTGCTGAACGGTTAAAGCTGTTTCTGAGACGGTTCCAACTACGTCGAGGTAGTCCTCGATGTATGACCACGATTGGGCCCAAAACTTCTGTCGCTAAGCAAGACAGTTGTTAAATGAATTTTGCCCCTTTTAATGACCTTCCTTGCCACAGCTATTAAATGAATCACTGCAGTTTTTAAATTAGTAACGCATTTATTAAGTGCATCTGGACTTTGTCAGAAAGTTTCAACGGGGGATCACGTGACCCCCCCCGGGACGCTGCAACCGTTGTAAATGTGAGCCAGTTGCCAAGCATCTGAATTTTGATCACGTGACCTGTGGGGATGCTACAACGGTCGTAATGGTGAAAAACAGTCACAGGTCACCTTTTTCATGTTGTAACTTCAAATGGTCGGTAAGCACATGGTTGTAAGTCAAGGACCACCCATATTTCTACCTTAGTAAATGCTACTAAGTGAATGGGAGGCCCGCTTCATGATTCCACCTGCTTCCTCGTTTAATGGAGCCACTTTCCTAAATTACAGAGTTTTCTTTTTTGGGGGGGATTTATGCAATATGTGCCTAAGACAGAGGCCAGGCCGCTTCAGAGGGTTCCCATTATAGCCAATTTACAATAGTGTCAAGAGCTACCAACTTGACATCTTGCTACGGGTAGTCCTCAAAGTTACGACGGTGCCGAATAAGAGATGACCGTTTGCAGCGTCCCCACAGTCCTGTGATTACAACTCGGTTGCTTGGCAACCAGCCTGTATTTAAGATGGTTGCTGTGTCCCGGAGTTACATGATTGCCATTTGCAACCTTTCCAGCTGGTTTCCGACAAGTAAAGTTAATGCAGGAAGCCAGATTTGCTTAATGACTGCACGAGTTGCATAAAAAGGTTGTAAAATGGGGTGTAGTCGTATGATTCCCTCAACGACCGCATCAGTTAATAAAAGAAGTTCCAGTCCCAATTGTGGCTGCAAGTTAAGGACTACCTGTATGTTAACTAACACAACGTAAGTATTCTATTCTGCTACTGGATCAAACTTGTTTTATGTGGTATATGAAACCCAAAGCTAATTACTGTGCTTGACTGCCACTTTTTTGTTACCATATAGGTCAGGACATAGGCGGGTTTTAGTTTTCCATCTGCTCTGAGAAAAAGTAAAAGGATTTTCTTAGGATCTTATTTTTTTGTTCATACTTTGTCGGGAAAGCATAGTAGGATTTATTTTCTGGGGTTTTTTGTTTTTTTTTGTAATCTGAGGTAAAGGTAAAATTGTACTCTGAACTTCTTTTATTGAGCTAATTACAGTATTATCTAGAATATATTCATTAACCCTTTAAAGAAGTTTCATTAATGTTGACGTTATTCAGATGGCATGTTTATGATAACTACACACACACACACATAAAAAAAATCCCACCACAAACTGACTTAAAACTCCATACTGGTCTTCCAGCAGTTCTTATTCAAAGTATAATTCCTTTCACCGCCGGACTGTAAAATTCTGTCTGAGACATTTTGACTATTGATTGGATTTTAGAATAATTGAAAAAACTTATAAATGCCCTTTTATCATTATGGAACAGACCAATCTTTTTAGAGGTGTGGCTGTTCAGAATCTATAGGATTGCTCGCTTTTTCTGCTGATGACTCGTACCAGATCCATTTCAAGCTCTGTGTACCCTTTATTAGAAAAACCATGGGCGGGAGGAACCATCATTAGTGGTGAGCCTGTGACGTCTCATGGACTTATCTCAAGAAGTGAGCAATAGACAAGGTGGTGATCTCCAAAAGTCACATATGAGCTTCTCATTAATTAAGTCAGTCATCAGATCGTTGACAAATTTGGGGGGGGAGGGGGGTTAGTCAATGTTCTTGAATGAGCTTCAGAACTTCATTCGTAAGAGCCAGGATGAAAACAAAATGAAACCAAATGCTATTCTACAGTTAAATAATTAAGAATCCTACTTAACACACGTAGCTATAACTTAGTCATTTCCACAGAAACTAATGTTTCAATCATTGAGACTTGAACTTCCTGTATCAGGTAACATGTTTGAAATGGGCTGTGGTCTGGTCCTAGTATTAGGTGACAACATTGGAACAGACAAGTTTTCAACTTGATTGCTTCATTGTGGCAGTTGCGTGTTCGGATGGGGGAACAATGGTGAAGTCACTCTCCTTTTTGAAACAAAACCAGCTGGAGGAATAAGCACAAGGTAGTATGAACTGTGAGTTTCATGGATTCCCTCTTTAGTTAGGGCAGAAAGAATGCAGGTAGTCCTCAATTTGTGACGGGTCACTTAGCAATGGACAAAGAGCCACCCCAGGGCTGTTTATGACCCAGATCTGAAGTTCTGATAGGCCCTTCATTGCTGTCACATGATTGCATTTGGGTTGCTCGGCAACTGGACCATATTTACAGCTATTTGCACGGTCCTGCGGTCACATGACCAGGATATACAGGGGGGTTTTATGCTAGAAACCGGTGTTTACTTCCAGGTTTCAGCAAAAAAAACTTCCATTGTGGGCAATGGATTCACTTAACAACCACAGCATTTAATGATTGCGGCATTTGTTTTACAACCGCCGTATCCGCTTAACGACCACCACACAAAAGATCATAAAATTGGGTGCCGTCTTGTGACCTGTTTAACGACCAGCAGGACTTACAGTCATAAATCGAGGACTTTCTATAATAGAACAAAAGCCTTGAAATTCCTAGTGTTCCTGGGATAGAACAATAATTGTAGAATACGCTGGCATGTTCGGTGTTGCACCCACTTCTGTCCCACGTATTTTGCTAGATTAAATATATGTGCTTCAGTGCACAAAAAGTCCCTATAATCATTTCTGCCTGTTGTCTCATTGCTGTGTTATGTCTCCATTTCTCACTCGGACGTTATAAAGAATCGCTTTGCTAAAAATAACTTTCCAATCAGTTGCTAAAATAATTTAGTCATGGATATAATGTACAAGCCTGTTGAATTTCACTTCCAGATAATTAACAGGGTGCAGAAACACAAATCCTATATCAGTGGGTACAAGGAAATACAGGCAGTCCTCGACTTACGACGACAACTGACCCCAAAGTTTCCATTGCTAAGCATGAGAGTTGTTAAGTGAGTTTTGCCCTATTTCATGATCTTTCTTACCACCGTTTTTCTTAAAAATTGGAGGAGGATGGATTGAATCATGATTATGGGAATGCTGTAGTGGTTGTAAGTGTGAAAAAAGATCATACCTCACTTTTTTTTCAGTGTTGTAACTTTGAACAGTCGCTAAATGAATTGTTGTAAGTCGAAAACTACCTGTAGATATCTTTGGTTGGTTTCAAAGCCTTAACAACTAATTCCTACCGCATTCTACTGATTCATGACTTATGTCACATATTGCATAATTCCGAGAAATCATTCATCCAATTTTTCTATGTCAATCCATCCTCCTCCAATTTTTAAGAAAATGTAGTTGCCAGCAGGGTCAAAACAGTTAAGTTGCTGTAACCCAGTTATCCCCAAACCGTAAATTTAGGAAAACACTTTTTTTTTTCATTCAGTTAGTACCGATTCTCAGAGACTGGTCAATTCTCTACAGTTTTCTTGGCAAGGGTTTTTCAGAAGTGATTTGCCATTGCCTCCTTCCTAGGGTTGAGAAAAGGTGACTGGCCCAAGATCATCCAGCTGGCTTTGTGCCTAAGGCGGGAGCCATGGAACTAGAACTCAGTCTCATGGTTTCTACCTGATGCTTTCATTACAACACCAAACAGGCACTCATGGGGAAATATGATACCAAACAACGGGGTGTTAGAATATAAGATAAAGCAATTCCTGCAACGAATTTGAGGAGCAATGTGAAATTTAAAACATTGCTTTACTTACCATGATAGCACTTAACTTAAAACTCACAAAATAGGGCATTAAAAAATTGTCTGAAATCAAAGATTATGTTTAACAATGTTTAACAAAACAAAAGCCTTGTTTTCATTTCTGCTGGCCCTTCCCATAGAGAGCAATAGAAACATCCCTATCCTTTGTATGTTAAGTAAGTTTCTTAGTGTTACTCTTGAATAACAAGTGAGTAAAAGGCTGTGTATAGAATATTTGCCCCAGTGCAGTTTATTAATTTTGTACTGATGGTGTTTCAGATTTATTGTAATCATATGCTTTCATCAATGTTTCTCAGTTATGGCTCATTAAAAATGTAATTTCTTACAACCTCAAGCTTTGTCTGCAGTGCATCATGTTTATAAAAGTAAAAAAAAAATATATTCTTCCTGTTTTCATCAGATAAAAGTTTACAAAAAAAAAGTGTCAGTGAAAAAAATATATCAGATAATCGCGTGCATTACATTCTAGCCAAGATATCATGAGCCTTATCTCCTTTTAATCAACCTTTGTCAGATCTTGGTACGTAATGTATTTTGATGAGTCACTTCAGTTTAATTATCTGAAATACTTGCAGTATAACAGAATAACAGAGTTGGAAGGGACCTTGGAGGTTTTCTAGAGCAAACAGGAGACCCTATAGCAGGGGTCCCCAACCCCCGGTCTGTGGACCAGTACCGGTCTGTGGCATGCCAGCAACAGATCCGCACAAACAAGCAAAGCCCCATATGCAGGATGCAGGCAGCACACAAAACCACACCCTCTCTGGTCCATGGAAAAACCTCTCTCCTCATAACCCGTCCCTGGTGCCCAAAAGGTTGGGGACCTCTGCCCTATATCAGTGATGGCGAACCTTTTAGAGACTGAGTGCACAAACCGCAACCCAAAACCCACTTATTTATCGCAAAGTGCCAGGGCCTCATCAGCATTGTAGTGCCCTGGGGGGGGCAGGGAGGCGCCTCTGAGTGCCGCCTCTGGCACGCAAAAACCGGGGTCGCAAAAATGAACCACCGTGCTGCAAGGCGCAAAAATGGCTGCCGCCACATCGCGGGGTGCAGATACAAGGCACTGCACCGCGTAAGAACGGGGCAGGGCTAGTGAGTATCACGCAGACACTAGCCCTGTCCCATTTGCAGCAGGTGCTTGCTCGTGGCGCCATGCACGCATGTAAAATGCTTCCCCCTCCCTTTTCTTCCAGTCCACCAATCGACAATGGTTGGTGACCTCTGCTCTACCACCTTTACTCGAGCTTGCTACTCGGCCACTTTGTCTCCTTTGTGCTGGGCAGGGCTCCTGCTCCGGGCGGCGGCCTGATGGACCTGCTGCTGGCAGCAGTGGCACGTGTGCCAATAGAGAGGGCTCTGAGTGCCGCCTCTGGCACGTGTGCCATAGGTTTGCCACCACTGCCCTATACCATTTCAGACCAATGTCCAGTCTCTTCTTAAAAGCTTCCAGTGATGGAGCACCCATAATTTCTGAAGGCAAGTCATTGCACTGGTTAATTGTTCCTGCTGTTGAGAAATTCCTCCTTAATTCTAAGTTGGTTCTCTCCTTCATTAGTTTCCATCCATTGCTTCTTGTCTTGTCAGGTGCTTTGGAGAACCCCTCTTCTTTGTGTCAGTCCCTCAAATATTGGAACCACGGGTAGGCAACCTTGGCTCTTTTATGACTCGTGGACTTCAACTCCCAGAATTCCTGGGAGCTGGCTCAGGAATTCTGGGAGTTGAAGTCCACGAGTCATAAAAAAGCCAAGGTTGCCTACCCCTGATTGGAACGCTGCTATCATGTTGCCCCTGGCCCTTCTTTTTACTAGACTGGATGTGATGCATAATAATAACTATAATAACTAATAGTGCAGGGTAAAATTAATTGTACTTGCTTTACTCTTTATCCAGCAGTTTTCACCAAAAATAGTTCCTATGGGACATTCAACTGAATTCAGCTTATAGCTGGAAAGCACAACCTCCACCAGGCTACACAGTGCCCTACAACTCCCAGCATTCAGTGCCCTACAACTCCCAGCATTCCTCCTCATAGGCTATAGAGGTTGGAATTTCTGAGAATTGTAAATTAATATCTGAAGGACCATCAGGTGTCTGGTGTGGTATCCTGGTGGGGGGGAAGCTCAGACTTCTCCGGCTTAATATCACCGTCCGCCTTGAATCAAATGTCAGGAAACTCGCGCCAAAGGTGCTTTTGTTTTTCAGAAGGCAACAAAGCCCAGGTGCCTTTTTTGAGAGTGGGGGATGACCTGGATGACTGAGAATCTCCATAATAACAAAATCTTAAAAATCCGATTTTACTGAACCTCCTTCCTCCTTCTGATACCATTGTGAATTAGGACGATGTCTGTCTGAGCTGCTTCTGAATACTATTTATCTGTTGTGGACTTAAAATACTAGAAGCATTCCCATTTCAAAACTGAATGAGTTCATATTTTAAAGTCCCAAGTTTGAAGGTGCAATTTAACTTAAAAACATAAGAACAGAAACTTGAGATCACTGTTTCAGATTTAAATAAAAGAAATCTACATATATTGTATTGAATTATATAATAAATCACTTATCAGACATTGTCAAATATTATTACATCTTAGGTTTTAAATGTTGAATTCTGCATGTTTGTAAGGTGACCAACCGTCCTCCTTTAGGGAGGACAGTCCTCCTTTTGTAAGTTCTGTCCTCCCTCGAAAAGTGTCCTCCTACATGTCCTCTTTTTCGATATTTGAAGACTAATCTGCAGGGCTTTTTTTTTTTCTCATAGAACGCTCAGAACGGCGTTCCAGCACCTTTTTTTGATGTTTTTTTTTCAACTTTTGCATGAGCTGTGCTACTCCCGCTATTGGCTTTCGAAAGCCAATAGGAATTGCTGCTGAGCGCGCCAAAACACCCGGCTGGCAAACTTAGCACATGCAAGTTGTCTGTATTATTGTTGCAATGAATAAAATGTTTCTTTTATTTACGATATTTTTTCCTTCAATTTATTTGTGTCCTCCTTTTCATTGTAAAAAAGTTGGTCGCCTTAACGTTTGATAACTGTTAAAACACTAAATGCCAATGTAGAACAGCTCTTGGATAGCTTCAAAAGCTGATCTTCCATCCATCTCCTTTCAAACACTGCCAAATATTGATTAATATTGTACTATACAATATTTGGTTTTTCAAACGCTGAAAGGATATTCAAAATATTTACAAACCAAGATCATAGTACAGATGCCATCATCAATTGCTTTACGAAGCGTGTCTTACATATTCCCTACATAGTACTTGTTTTTCTTTACATTTGTCGAAAAAGTTTCTCCTATCAAAACATATTTTCAGAGAGCTATCCAGAAGACAGTCTAGGAGAAATTGTGTAGTGTTCTGTTTTTTATTTTCAAAAAGTATTGTATTTGATTACGCCATGGCCGGATTAAGAATTACAAAAATTTATCAGGTAATGCCAGCCTTTGTACCTTTTTTTTAAATTCAAAAATATGTAACAACATTTTAATTTAGTCATAGTTTTCTCTTAAAACAATCAATTGGCCACCCTAATGAAGTACTATAAGAACCACAGAATCAGTGGTTCAAGTTACAGCCAACCAGATTTATCAAGTAGGCTTACTTTAAGAAGACATCCATATATACAGGCCAGTGTTTCTCAACCTTGACAATTTTAAGGCATGTGGACTTCAACTCCCAGAATTCCACAGCCAGCAATGCCTTAAAATGGTCAAGGTTGAGAAACACTGATATAGGCAGTCAGGGAACTCAGTTTCCCAGCAACCCAGGGCAAGGGGGAAACGAGCAGCGTCACGTGACCAAGGCTCGGTGGCGTCACTCGCAGGCGCCTTCGCAGGGACGTTTCAGCTCTAGGATGACCCAGAGAAATCACTTCCGGTTTGGGCCTGCAAGGCGGGCGGCGGGGGGGGGGACGCGAGCCGTTAGATGCGAACGGGGCGTCTTCAGCGCGCCTGAGTTGTCGCGGTGGCGGTTGTCATGGCAGCGGCGGCCGGCTCCGGCGGAGGCGAAACGGCCTCCTCTGCAGACGAAGGCGGAGGGGGCCGGGGGAGCCCCCCCGGCTCGGACCCGCGACGCCTGGGGCCGGGGGGGCGAGAGGAAGAGGAGGCGCCGAGGCAAGGCAGCGCGGGAGGCCTGGGCAACCAGAGCCGCCCGTCCTCGTCGCCGCCCTCTCGCGAGGCTGAAGTCACCGTGGATATCGGAGAGACCTACCTGTGTCGGCGAGGGGACGGAACGTGGCGTAAGTGACCCCCCCCGTTCTGTTATTCAGCGCCGTGTCTGTACTCGGCGTCGGAAAAGGGCTCCCGTTCGTCGTTAACCCGCGCGCCTGGCTCGCTCAACGGCGATCGGGACAGCCCCGTGGCTTGTGGTCGTTCAGATATTGGACTGCGGCCGGGGAAGGCCACACTCAGCTCCACCCTCGTCGGTGGCAGTGTAGTGGCCGTCTTTGAGCCGGCCGTTCTGTTGGAGCCCGACCTAATGGGCAGGGTTGTTGTGGAGAAAAACACAAAGGGGGAGTTGTTCATTCTGGGATGTGATGCGGCAGGTGCTTGCCTGCTTTGAGTTCTACAATTATCCTTGTGGTTGCTTGCCCAGTCAGCCAGATGTTTAGGCCCGATCTGGCATTTTTGCCTACCCGTGAATCCTTCCCGAGGACCCGGGATAGGCAGATGAGGTTGTCTTGATGGCACTAAAACAGGGGTAGGCAACCTCGGCTCTTTTATGACTCGTGGACTTCAATTTCCAGAATTCCTGAGCCAGCATGGCTCAGCTTGGAAATCTCTCCCTTTTTCCTCAGCATGGCTAGCTCAGGAATTCTGGGAGTTGAAGTCCACGAGTCATAAAAGAGCCAAGGCTGCCTACCCCTGCACTAAAAGTATCCTCACAGGGTGTAAGCTGCTGTAAGTAATGTTGCCTTTTGCAATGGACCGATGGCCATTTTGTCTTGATTTCTCTGTTTTCAATCTTTGTATGTTTATGAAGGGTAGATACCTTGCTGAGCCAACAGTCCTGAATCCTGTAGCCCATTTGTCACCAGATGTCCTGAAACTCCAACACTAGCACAGTAATTATTATTACAAAATGAAATTCAATGGTGAAAAAAGCAAGGTTCTACATTTAGGCAAGAAAAACCAAATGTACAGGTATAGTATAGGGGGTACCTTGCTCAATAGTAGTAACTGTGAGAGGGATCCCGGAGTCCTAGTGGACAATCACTTAAATATGAGCCAGCAGTGTGCTGCAGCTGCTAAAAAAACCCAAAATACTTGTGGAAAACGAAAGAACTCTTACGAATTCCAGAGGGGTTTAGCAGAGAAGTTTATTGCGCATGGTTCAGAGGCATATTAGAGATAGGCAATTCTGAACCAGGAGGGCGGGATTAGACTTCAGTTTTTATACTTCCCTTCTTTCAGCAACAAAGGGACTACACATGATAATACACTGTAATAATGTAGTAAATTGAACAATTATTAGAATAATGATTTGTCTGCATAACTGCAATAATGATGTAATGCATAATCACTGGGAAAATTCACTGGGAAAGTTCTGTGTCAGTAATATGTGGCAACCAAATGCGCTTTGCACATGGATACTTTGTATGTAGCAAAACCTTCCATTGTATGCCTGTGAGAAACGCTCCTAATGTATCACAGTGTATTACCATGTGTAGTCCCTTTGTTCTTTAAGGAGGGTAATATAAAAACTGAAGTCTAATCCCGCCCTCCTCGTTCAGAATTGCCTATCTCTAATATGTTTCTGAACCTTGCGCAAATAAACTTCTCTGTTAAACCCCTCTGGAATTCGTAAGAGTTCTTTCGTTTTCCACAAGAGTAATACATTTGGTTCGTTTCTCACGGGCATACAATGGAAGGTTTTGCTACATGCAAAGTATCCATGTGCAATGCGCATTTGGTTAGCCACATATTACTGACACAGAACTTTCCCAGTGAATTTTCCCAGTGATTATGCATTACCTCATTGTCCTAGCAATTATGCAGAGAAATCATTATTCTAGTTATTGTTCATTTTACTACATTACTACAATTATCGTTATGGTTGCTTGCCCAGTCAGCCAGATGTTTAGGCCCGATCTGGCATTTTTGCCTACCCGTGAATCCTTCCCGAGGACCCGGGATAGGCAGATGAGGTTGTTTGATGACACTAAAAATATCGCCACAGGGTGTAAGCTGCTGTAAGTAATGTTGCCTTTTGCAATGGACCGATGGCCATTTTGTCTTTATTTCTCTGTTTTCAATCTTTGTATATTTATGACGGGTAGATACCTTGCTGAGCCAACAGTCCTGAATCCTGTAGCCCATTTGTCACTAGATGTCCTGAAACTCCAACACTAGCACAGTAATTATTATTACAAAATGAAATTCAATGGTGAAAAAAGTAAGGTTCTACATTTAGGCAAGAAAAACCAAATGTACAGGTATAGTATAGGGGGTGCCTTGCTCAATAGTAGTAACTGTGAGAGGGATCTTGGAGTCCTAGTGGACAATCACTTAAGTATGAGCCAGCAGTGTGCTGCAGCTGCCAAAAAGGCCAACACAGTGCTAGGCTGCATTAACAGAGGGATAGAATCAAGATCACGTGAAGTATTAATACCACTTTATAATGCCTTAGTAAGGCCACACTTGGAATACTGCATCCAGTTTTGGTCACCACGATGTAAAAAAGATGCTGAGACTCCAGAAAGAGTACAGAGAAGAGCAACAAAGATGATTAGGGGGACTGGAGGCTAAAACATATAAGGAACGGTTGCAGGAACTAGGTATGTCTAGTTTAACGAAGAGAAGGACGAGGGGGGACATGATAGCAGTGTTCCAATATCTCAGGGGCTGCCACAAAGAAGAGGGAGTCAAGCTATTCTCCAAGGCGCCTGAAGGCAGCACAAGAAGCAATGGGTGGAAACTGATCAAGGAGAGAAGCAACCTAGAACTAAGGAGAAACTTCCTGACAGTGAGAACAATTAACCAGTGGAACAACCTGCCTCCAGAAGTGGTGAATGCTCCAACACTGGAAGTTTTTAAGAAGAGACTGGACAGCCATTTGTCTGAAATGGTGCAGGGTTCCTGCCTGGGCAGGGGGTTGGACTCGATGACCTCCAAGGTCCCTTCCAACTTTATTATTATTATTTATAAAGACAATTATAGATTTATAACTTTTCATCTCAAATTATTGTAATTATTGCTAAAAAGGCCATAAAACAGCTAAAGCCAAATTCATCCTGTGTAGCGTAATACACAGCATTAATACGAACCACACGTAATTGTGAAATGCTTGGGTGGTTCGTATTAATGCTCATTTAATCAATTTCCCCATGGAGAAGAAGGAAGCTATCATATATCATATCTGAACCAGGTAACACTTTTTTTTTTTGAGCCACACTGGATGGATCTTTTTCATATAAACTATTACACGATAACCCAAAGCTAGATTGAAACAGTATCCTGATGACTATCCTTCTAGCTTCAAGCCTCAATACAGTCATTTAAGATTGTAATCCTTAGTATATCTGACAGTAATCCATTGAATATCATATAATTTAATTGTAACTAAACATTCATGGAGTAACTGTGCATTCTCATTATTCTTCTGTTACGCTTATCTAAAGTGTCCTTCTACATATTATAGAAATAAATGGAAACTTCTGTGTGTTCATACTCCTGAACTTAGTTACACAAGACCCACATCTACGGTTCCAGCCTCGCTGGTAAGAATGAACTAAACTTTCATAGGTTACTTCCATGCTAGCTTGTTTCCCGTTTGAAAGAAGAAAGTTTTTCATAGTCTTTTTACTGACTTGCATTTCTCACTTTTCCTCACTGAAATGTCCTTTAACCAGATTGATGGTTACTTCCCCTTCAGATTCTGCAGAGGTGATTCAGTCTCGGCTCAACGAACAAGAAGCCAGAGAGGAATTTTATGTTCACTATGTAGGATGTAAGTGCCTTTTTGAGATTCTGATCTGTATAATGATGAGAAAGTTTGAGGTGTCTTAGCTAGTTCGGTCTTCCCTAATCTCATGCCCTGCAGATAAACTGGAATGATAATTCCTTGAATTCCTAGCCAGCTAAATTAATCTAATTAAATATAAGTATGCCTTTTTTTCCCCCTGCAGTCTTCCTTAAATTGTTTCATCGGGTCATTTTGAGAGAGATTTAGTTTAGATGTAGCTTTAGGCAGACTTCTAAGTAAGGTTGTATTTTTTTCTGCACACTAATGATAAAGTGTTAGATAAAGAACCATCATAGCGTGCCTTAGCACAGCGTGATGTAACCCAAACTGCCAATTATCCCAGTTTGTAGGGAAAAAGGAAAAAAGAAGCAGAACAAAAATTATATGCCTTTAGTTCAATACTGAGCTCTGGGAAGAAGCTGAAAGAGTGTTTATTGGTGGCAATCAGGATGAAGACTCTGCTTAATGTTGATTCAGGGTTTTAGTTTTTTCTAGTACTAGAATGGAAGCTACTGTACGCAACTTTGGACACAGTCAAAGCTTTGGGGTGATGATTTTTGTTTGCTGTTGATAAATCACTGGCAGTCAGAAATCTTTGCTGATCATCTAGAGCAGTGTTTCTCAACCTTGACAATTTTAAGGCATGTGGACTTCAACTCCCAGAATTCCACAGCCAGCAATGCTGGCTGTGAAATTCTGGGAGTTGAAGTCCACATGCCTTAAAATTGTCAAGGTTGAGAAACACTGATCTAGATCAGGGAAGTGCATCCTTTAATGCTGACTGGGGACTTCTGTGCGTTGAAGTCCACAGGTCTTAAAGTTGCCAAGGTTGAACGTCCCTGATCTAGAAGTCTATCGCTAGATTTCAATCTATCTTCTGTTTACCCCAGTGTAGAGCAAGGCAGAGTGGATCGACCTTCTTGTTCCCATATTTCAATTTCTAACTAAAGAACATTTTATGTGGGATGGCTGATGGGGGGGGAATGGTGAGACTTCTGTGATCTCCTAAGTCTCCTTTGGCTCTCACAGTCAACCGACGTCTGGATGAGTGGGTGGATAAGAACCGCCTAGCCCTCACCAAGACAGTCAAAGATGCTGTGCAGAAGAACACCGATCAATACATGAACGAACTTTCTGAGCAGCCCGAGCGCAAGATCACGCGCAACCAGAAGCGCAAACATGATGAAATCAACCATGTCCAAAAGGTGATGCAAGGGAGAGGGGGCTGGGAAGGCGGAATTGTTCTATGCTGCCAGATACAGGTAATCCTCAACTCACGACCATAGTTGAGCCCATTATTAGCATCATTAAATCGCTGCTCTCATTAGGCAAGGCACCCTTGCAATCCCAGCCCTCCACATTGCAGTCATCATGTGAGCATGGGATGCCTCAGGCAGTGGAGAAGCTGTGGTTGCCGAACAAATGGTCGTATGTTGAGGACAACCTGTATCCATTCCAGAGGTGGGGAGGGGAAAAAAACCAACAACAACCGAGTACAGGTAGTCCTCCACTGATGAGCACAATTGAGCCCAACATTTCTGTTGCTCAGTGAGACAGTTAAGTGAACTTTGCTTCATTTTACAACCTTTCCTGTCACAGTTGTTAAGTGAACCACTGGAGTTCTTAAGTTAGTAACACGGCTATTAAGTGAATCTGGCTTCCGCATTGGCTTTGCTGGTCAGTCGCTAAGCATCTTTTGATCACATGACTCTGGAGATGCTGCAGTGGTGGTAAAGGTGAAGAATGATGATAAATGCCGTTGTATTACTGAATGCCGTTGTAACTTTGAACAATCATTAAACGAACGGTTGTAAGTGGAGGACTGCCTGTATCCGATTGCATTTTTGGTGCTATTGCTGCCCTTACGCTGGCAGGAGAAGGTGGCTTTTCCAGGAAATGCTTGCCGTTACTCACAAGATTGGGCTTTTTTCCCCACCGCAGACGTATGCTGAGATGGATCCTACCACAGCAGCTTTGGAGAAGGAACACGAAGCAGTGAGTGTTTATCCGTACCTGTCCTAGCTGTGTCTGGCTTGAAATCTGAAGAGTTTTGGAAAAGGGAGTATTACGAGCCGTGGTGGTACAGTGGTCAGAATGCAGTATTGCAGGCTAACTCTGCCGATTGCCAGCAGTTCGATCCTGACTGGCTCATGGTTGAGTCAGCCTTCCATCCTTCCAAGGTCGATGAAATGAGGACCCAGATTGTTGGGAGCAATAGGCCAACTCTGTAAAACCGCTTAGAGAGTACTGTAAAAACTATGAAGCGGTATATAAAGTCTTAAGTGCTATGGCTATTACTGTCTTTGTAGGACGCCGCTTACTTTTGTCTCCCTCTCAGATCACCAAAGTGAAATATGTGGACAAAATCCATATCGGGAACTACGAGATTGACGCTTGGTATTTCTCACCATTCCCAGAAGACTACGGGAAGCAGCCCAAGCTGTGGATCTGCGAATACTGCCTCAAGTATATGAAGTTTGAGAAGACTTACCGCTATCACCTTGTACGCAAGGGGGAAGGATAGTTGCCAGGGGGCTGGGGAAGGTTGGGGTGGGAGAGAATTGAGCACCAGAGAGCCTGTAAGCCAGACATGCCAAACACAAGGCCCGGGGGGCTGGATGCGGCCCGTGACGTGGTTTCATGTGGCCCACGAAGCCATCCTGGAAACAGTGAGGGAACGGCCCCCGCTGCCTTGGCCCTGGCCCAGGCCGGCCGGGAGCCAATGTACAATTTTGTGATGGGCATCTATGCTGAAACGCATTCAGTCTTAGCTCCACAAGGCCATCTGGAAACAGTGAGGAACCAGCCCCTGCCACGTCTGCCCCGCCTCCTGGGTGCATGCTGGGGAGGTGTCACCCTTTGTGAGGAATGAAGAAATGCACCATTGCCCCATTTTACGACCTTTCCAATTTGTTAGGTGAATCACTGCAGTTGTTATAGTTGTTAACGAATCCCGCTTCCCCCATTGATTGCTTGCCAGAAAGTTGGAAAAGGTGATCACAGGATGCCAGGACACAGCAACGGTCATAAATATGAGTCAGTTGTTGCCAAGTGGCTGAATTTTGATCCCATGGCCATGGGGAATGCCGCAGTGATCGTAAATGTGAAAAATAGTCTCAAGTCACTGTTTTTCAGTGCCATTGTAACTTTGAACAATGATTAAATGAACATGATGAAGTTGAGGATTACTAAATGAAATTGAGGATTACCTGTATTTAGTTTCAGTATTTTCAATGCTGCCAACTGGAAAAATCTAAACGATGCTAAAATGAAACTGGAGAAAAATAATCAGGTCAAAAGACAAATAGATGCAAAAGGTGCATTGAACTGGTTCGTAGGTGAAATTCCCCAGGGGGAAAAAAAACCCCCATAGATGCCTGTCATTTTTGGTACCCATAGCTCTTCTTATCGTTGCTTCAGGGCCAGTGTCAGTGGCGACAACCACCAGGGAAAGAAATCTACCGCAAAAACAACATCTCGGTATATGAGGTGGATGGCAAAGATCACAAGGTAAGAGACCATATCAGCTCCAGGGTTTCCACTAAGCTGTTACTGTGTTCATTTTTTGTGGTCTAGGCCAGGGCTTTTCAACCAGTGGTACAGGTACCACCTGTGGTACATTGGCACCTGGCAGGTGGTATGCGACCATCCCAGAAAAGTGGTAGCGGGGGAGGGGAATGAGCTGAACCGGTGGCAGCACCGCACAAGCCTGAGCAAGAGATGGCTGGAGCTGCAGGGCTGTCAGGGCTCAGCGGAAGCGCCAGGATCAGTGCCAGGCTCCAGCTGGAGCTCTGCGCTGATCCTGGCGCTTCTGCTGAGCCCTGAAGAAGCGCCGATCAGCTGGAATGTTGCAGCATCTCCAGGGTCTTGTGATTTACATTCAGATGCTTGGCAACTGATTCATATTTATGATGGTCACAGTGTCCGAGGGTCATGTGAAGTGACCAAAACCTGCTGCAACCACCCAGGAGACAGAGGGAATAAAAACCAAACACCCCCCCACCCCACCCCCACTGCCAATCCTCAACAGAAATGCTCACAACAATGAAAACCTCGGACAGGAGGAAGAGCACCGCCGGGTGGGCAGGCAGGCATCTTGCTCGGCTGTGGCTTGGGGGGCACTTTTTTCAGTGCCATTGTAACTTCGAACAGTCACTAAGCGAACTGTTGTAAGTCGAGGACTACCTGTATTTCATCACTTTTTTCGTTTGTGGGGGGGTCATCAAGTTTTTGACACTTTGCTAGGTGACTAGTGGTACTCGGATGTTGCCATATCCTAAAAGTGGTACAATGGGTGAAAAGGTTGAAAAGCCCTGGTCTAGGTGGCAAACTTGCTATTTTGGGAACCTGGCATTTGCCATCTTCACTGTTTGGAAAATCTGGTTCATCAGATAGAAAGCCAGTCACTCAGCAGAGTCATAAACAGTCATTAACTACTATATAATTTTACCTCTCCCCACATTTGCAAGTTGCTTTTAAATAAGCCAACCTACACAGGTAGTCCTCAACTTACGACCGCAACCGAGCCCAACCTTTCTGCTGCTGAATGACAGGGGTTAAGCGAATTTTGACCTTTCTTGCTGCAGCTAGTAAGTGAAACGCAGTTGTTAACAACATGGTTGTTACGTGAATCTGGTTTCTCCCTTGACTTTGCTTGTCAGAAGGTTGCAAAAGTTGACCGGGACACTGCAACCGTCATAAATATGAGTCAGTTACCAAACATCTGAATGTTGATCGCGTGACCGCGGGGTGCTGCAATGGCCGTAAGTGTGAAAAATGGTAATAAATCACTCTTATTATTGTCATTGTAACTCTGAACGGTCCCTAAACGAACTTGTTGCAAGTCGAAGACTACCTGTATGCAGGTAAAGTTTGTGTGGGCCAATAGCCTCGAACTTTCAATCTTTTGATATAGAAATAGCTACATCAAAGATGGCAAATTACATGGAACACGGTGCCAACAGGTCTATGGAGATTCTCAGCCATCCAGGTCAGGGGTCCTCAAGCTTGGCAACTTTAAGACTTATGGACTTCAACTCCCAGAAGGTTGAGGAATTCTGGGAGTTGAAGTCCACAAGTCTAAAAGTTGCCAAGCTTGAGGACCCCTGATCCAGGTCATACTGTGTTTCCCTGAAAATAAACCCTAGCTTGATTTTTACGTTTGCGCCTAATATAAGCCCTATCACCAAAATAGTTTTGAGGTGAGGCGCACACATAAAAATCAAGCTAGGGCAGGGGTGGGGGGTGGAGCTGCCCCACGCGCCCTGCAGCCACTTAGGACCGCTGCAGCCAGGCCTCCCATGCGCCAACATCTGTCGCGTTGCTGCCCGAGTTCTTCAGCCGCTCATGGCTGGACACGTGGCACTTCGCACCAGTGCCACCACTCATGGCAGGAGGCCGCGTGGCGCATCGCGCCAGTGCCACTGCTCACACGCACGGTGCGATGTGCCACGCGGCATCTGGCCGCAAGCGGCCGCAGAACTCAAACAGCAGCGTGTCAGGTGTCAGGGCGTGGGAGGCCTGGCTGCAGCAGTCCTAAAGTAAGCGGGTGCGTGGCGTGTGCTCAAGTCCCCACCCCCGCCCTAGCTTATTTTTACACGTGCTGAAGCTTCTTGGATGAGAAGCAAAACATTTTTCAAAGAAAAAAAAATCCAGTTGTCTTGTGACGGTACTAACAAAAGCATTCTTTGAGAGTTGTCCAGAATTTCTAAAGGATGTATCTTAAAAACAAGCAAATGACTCACTGAGCAAATAAGCTCAGAGTTGTGACTCAAGGCGCAAAATGGCCAAGCTCAAATTATCCTACCGCAGACATATTATGTAAACGACTCAGCTCTGTGGAGAAGGCTCTGATGCCAAGAGAAAGACGAACTTCGGGAAGATGGAGGGTCTCTATTACGGTGGTGATATCTGCACCATTGGAAGTCCTGAAGGACCAGTTGGGGGACAAATGGAAAAGGTCCATGTAGGCGCTAAGAGTTGATGCAAATTTGGCAGCACATACTAGCTAAAGCAGTGTTTCTCAACCTTGACAATTTTAAGGCATGTGGACTTCAACTCCCAGAATTCCACAGCCAGCAATGCTGGCTGTGGAATTCTGGGAGTTGAAGTCCACATGCCTTAAAATTGTCAAGGTTGAGAAACGCTGAGCTAAAGGGTGCCAGGTTGGAGAAGGGCAGTCTTAAGCGTGAATAGCAATATGGAGTTTTAAGATATTTAATTTAATAACTGGAACAGTAAAGTGTATAATGGGCCAGAGCACACAGTTGTAGTTGATTGGACAGTGCGAGCTCCTGCATGAGGCAATCTACGTTATGATTGGTTGCCGCTTGAGAAGGGGGAGTTTCCCTTTTTCTTCTATGTGCTCTGTTTGCTGTTCTGTGATTTACCTCATGATTTACCTCATGATCTTAGCGTGTATCTATCTTCTTATCTGCTGTAAATATAAATGTAAAATATATTTATTTATATAACAGTACAAGTCAGCGTCTTTGACTCCATTTTGGACACCGGCTGCTCAGTTCCCTGACACGAAGGCTCTTCTATTGAACTATTACTGCAGAAAAAATCATACTTAAGAACTGGTTGCATCTAAATTTTGAGAAGACCAATCCAGGAAGTTATGGAATATACGAGACGCTGTAGAACACGGGTCTTGAAACTTGGCCCTTTTATGACTTGTGGACTTCAACTCCCAGAATTCCTCAGCCAGGCACGCTGGCTGAGGAATTCTGGGACTTGAAGTCCACAAGTCATAAAAGGGCCAAGCTTGAAGACCCCTGCAGTAGAACAATGTTTCTCAACCTTGGCAAGTTGAAGNAGTTGAAGTCCACACATCTTCACCTTGCCAAGGTTGAGAAGCACTGCTGTAGAATATGAAATGCAACCAGAGAATTCATTTTCTTTTCAAAGAATCAAACTTCAGGATGATTGCAAATTGGGGTGGGCAAAATGATAATTCTGGGGTGCAAGACCAGCCCTGAAACAGGCCTGTGTCATCCAGAATTGCTTTGGAAGGTTAACTTCCAGAAGACTGTCAGGCTGCTCACAGAATGGCCCAGATAGGCCTGGTTCAAAGAAGGAACTATTGAGTTTACAGATACCTATTTGTGAGGTTCAAAAGAAGGCACCTTACACAAAGTTTATTTTTCTTACACGCATTCTTGGCTTTTTGAACAACTTGGAGATACTGTCTCTCACTCTACAGCAGGGCTTTTCAACTTTTGCACCCATTGTACCACTTTTAGGATATGGAAAGATCCAAGTACCACCAATCGCCTAGCAAGGTGTCAAAAACGTGATGACCAAAAAACAAAAAAAAAGGAAAAAAGTGAATAAAGTACAGGTAGTCCTCGACTTACAACAGTTCGCTTAGTGACTGTTCGAAGTTACAATGGCACTGAAAAAAGTGCCCCCCAAGGCACAGCCGAGCAAGACACCTGCCTGCCCGCCCGGCCACACTCTTCCTCCTGTCCGAGGTTTTCATTGTTGTGAGCATTTCTGTTGAGGATTGGCAGCGGAGGTGGGGTGGGGGGTGTTTGGTTTTTATTCCCCCCGTCTGCTGGGTGGTTGCAGCAGGTTTTGGTCACTTCACATGACGGTGGGACACTGTGACCGTCATAAATATGAATCAGTTGCCAAGCATCTGAATGTAAATCACAAGACCCTGGAGAGGCTGCAACATTCCAGCTGATCGGCGCTTCTTCTGGGCTCAGCAGAAGCACCAGGATCAGTGCTGAGCTCCAGCTGGAGCCTGACGCTGATCCTGGTGCTTCCACTGAGCCCTGACAGTCCCGAAAAAGCGCTGATCCTGGCGCTTCCGCTGAGTCCTGACGGCCCTGCAGCTCCAGCCGTCTCTCGCTCAGGCTTGTGCGGTGCTGCCACCGGTTCAGCTCATTCCCCTCCCCCGCTACCACTTTTCTTGGATGGTCGCGTACCACTTGCCAGGTGCCAATGTACCACAGGTGGTACCCGTACCACTGGTTGAACAGCCCTGCTCTAGAAAACCAAGTTTTAATTTTAGATAAGTTATAGTTGTGAATGAAATTCTCTTCTTTTAGAAAGTTTATTTCAGAGACACTTTTTTGTTTGTTTGTTTGTTTCAATAAGGAATGGGCCAACACTCCTCTTTCTCCTCTTTGCTCCTGGATTTCACATTTTTTTTGTCTGAAGCCTATGTCCTTATTGCTCCTTTTCCCCCCAGATTTATTGCCAGAATTTGTGTCTTTTGGCCAAACTATTCCTGGATCATAAGACCCTCTACTTTGACGTGGAGCCCTTTGTCTTCTACATCCTTACTGAGGTGGACAGGCAAGGAGCCCATATCGTTGGCTATTTTTCAAAGGTACTGACTGCTGGTCTTCACGGGATGGATAATACATTGTAACTAGCTTTGTGATCGAAAAAGTGGATAAATTCTACGGCTGTGCGAAATATTTTGTGCGCTACTGGTTTTAGGTGCATTGTGTCTCTAAGTTTGTGTCAGCGTCTTTGGCTCCATTTGGACCCCTGCTGCTCAGTTCCCTGACATGGAGGCTCTTTGGGGTCTTTTGTCCTGTAGACTAAAACACAGTTGCTTTAAGCACAAGTGCTTTGGGATAGATGTGAACAGGGGGGAAGGTCAAGGAGAACAGTGGTGATGGGTGAGAGAAGGCCCTAGGACAGTGGTGGCAAACCTATGGCACGCGTGCCAGAGGCGGCACTCGGAGCCCTCTCTGTGGGCACACGCGCCATGTCCCAGAGATGGTAACCGTCCCTCTTCAACCAGCCGGCCGCTAACTCGCCGAGATCCCACTTGGCCAGATGCATCCCAGCACAGCTGGATTCCCTCCCCCCTGTCCCATCCCTCCTGGCCTCGCATGCTCTCCTTTTCCCGGGCACGACCCACCGCATCCCCTGCTCAGCTGTTGGCCAGCCGTCCAGCTCAGAGGCGGCTTCTCTGAATTGCTGGAGGCGGGCTGTGGAGCCCCAGAGTGCGCCGGCAGACTGTGGCTGCTGACAGACACTGTCGGCCCCCGTGCGCTCACTGGCCTCTGTGTGTGGGGGCCGATGGTGTCAGGCAGCAGCCGCCCCGGCCCCTGCCTCGCCTTACCCTACGACAATGGCACCCCTGCCGTGCCTCGCCTCACCCCGCAGGACGAGCCTTCTGCCCACTGTCCCACCTGCCAGAGACCCCCTGGGTCTCTCCCAACCCTGCTTGGCCCCCACAGGCGTCCCTCCCCATGAGCAACATCGAGGTGACCATGCCCACCTTGGCCGCAACCACCCAGTCTGCCATGACCACCACAGCCACGCCCACCCAGTGGGCCACGCCCACCTGGCACCCGGCGATAAATAAGTGGGTTTTGGGTTGCAGTTTAGCCACTCGGTCTCTCAAAGGTTCGCCATCACTGCCTTAGGAAGATTGGGAGGGACAAGAAGGCCACAGGGACATCAGGAGTGGTTATGGGGAAGGAGAGAAGGAAAGGGTCTGGAAGATCAGGGCCATATGAAGATCAAGAGTTTTTACAAGAGCGGCCATGTATACTGGTCCTATCCACTCCATCCATGTCTTATTTTGTATTCAATTATCCGAGCATTCTGGCTCTCAGTTCTACGGAACCATGGCTGATCCAAATAATTCAGCAAATCTTCCAAATTAAGAGTTTTAGTTAACTTTTTCTTTTACGAGCATCCCGTGTGAGCACTTAGAATCTTATTTCTGTGTGTTTAAAATTAATGTCTGGTAAGAAAAGCTCAGAAGAAAATACAGTTTAAGAAACATGACAGGGAAAGAGAGAAGAAGAAATTACTCTCTGTGCGTGTGTTTTTGTATGTGTGTGGAATTGAAGTCCACACACAATCCTGGAATTGTGCAGGGTCAATCACTATGAGTCTGAAAAGCCCGATGGCAGTGATGGTGAACCTTTGAGAGACGGCAGACTGGGTGGGACTAAAAAGTTCAATCAATCAATGCCAACTTTGCAAGATCTTTTTTTTTCCCCGCAAGAAGTTGAAATTGACTGATTGATTGGTTTTACAAATTTTATTAATTTTCAAATAAACAAGTTCTTAATACAAATATGGTGCACATAAAAAAGCAAAAAAAAAACCTACTAAACATCATATTTTTGGAGGTGATCGGCAGTCCGTCCCCCCCGCATCCACCCTCTCTTTCACCCTTCCTACCTACTTCCCTCTTCCTTTCCTCCCCTCCTACCCACACCTCTCTCCTCTTTCTCTTCCAACTACCCTACACATCCCACACATCAGACTGAGTGGGACTAAAAAATTCAATCAATCGATTCCAACTTTGCAAGATCTTTTTTTTCCCCGCAAGAAGTTGAAATTGACTGATTGATTGAACCTTTTTTTTTTTTTTGCACACGGCGGCGGAGGCCTAAAGTGAAAAGGTTTTATAAAACCCAGCTGAAGGCCTAGGAGTGGGGCGACGGCGTGCATGCCCACAGAGAGGACTCTGAGTGCCGCCTCTGGCACCCGTGCCATAGGTTCGCCACTGCCCGATGGTCATAGCTTGCTCTTAGAATTAAATTGGAAAAGAACCTGATAGGCAGACTACCTTGAGCTCCTGGATGATCAATGGAGTGTACATGTAATAAGTAATTTAAAAATATATAAGGAAGGAAGGTGATAAATAAATCAGTATCAAGATCAGCTTAGAGAGAGTTTGCAGCAGGAGAGCAAGCATGGATTTTATCTGTGTCAGTGGAGCAAGCTTTTCTCCAAAGTTACCTTTAGAGTTGCCAGATATAATGGGTACAATTGATGACTATTTTTAAAAGAAATATGATTTTCTGGATGTTGATTTCTCTGCTTGATGCTAGATTTCATAACATCATTTACCTGACTCCTGTGATTTCTTTTCCCTTCTAGGAAAAGGAATCCCCAGATGGAAATAACGTCGCTTGTATTCTAACCTTGCCCCCTTACCAGAGACGGGGCTATGGGAAATTCCTCATCGCATTCAGTAAGCCGTTCTTTTCTCAAGCCATGAATGATAAAAATGAATTGCAGAGTTGATTTATCAGTCTCTTAATTGCTTCCTGGGGTTGGATCTGTAGATAGATCTATTGTGTGTCTCCCCCCACCCACCCTCCCCGGTGACAAGTTAACTTCTGTTGCATCTGCCCTACCTCCTCCCCCCCCCCTTTTGTAACACCCCTGCTATCCTGATCGCTTTAGGACAGGGGGTCTTCAAACGTGGCCCTTTTATGACTTGTGGACTTCAACTCCCAGAATTCCTCAGCCAGAGTCACAGTGCTAAGTATTTAGTCCAGTGACGGCGAACCTTTTAGAGACCGAGTGCCCAAACTGCAACCCAAAACCCACTTATTTATCGCCGGGTGCCCGGTGGGCATGGCCCACTGGGTGGGCATGGCTGTGGTGGTCATGGCAGATTGGGTGGGTGTGGCCAAGGTGGGCATGGCCACCTCGATGTTGCTCATGGGGAGGGACGCCTGTGGGGGCCGGACAGGGTTGGGGGAGATCTGGAGGGTCTCTGGCAGGTGGGGCGGTGGGCAGGAGGCTTGTCCTGTGGGGTGAGGCGAGGCAAGGCGGGGGTGCCATTGTCACAGGGCAAGGTGAGGCAGGGGCCGGGGTGGCCGCTGCCTGACACCATCGGTCCCTGCACCCAGAGGCCAGCGAGCGCATGGGTGCTGGGATGCATCTGGCCATGTGGGACCTCAGCGAGTTAGCAGGTGGCTGGTTGAAGAGGGATGGTTGCCATCTCCGGGGCATGGCACGTGTGCCCGCAGAGAGGGCTCTGAGTGCTGCCTCTGGCATGTGTGCCATAGGTTCGCCACCACTGTGATAGTAGATGTTGAGAAATGGCATCAGAAGCAGAGAAGTGGGTGGGGCAGTGGGTAGAAGGCTCGTCCTGCGGGGTGAGGCGAGGCAGGGCGGGGGTGCCATTGTCGCAGGGCAAGGCGAGGCAGGGGCCAGGGTGGCTGCTGCTTGACACTATCGGTCCCTGCATACAGAGGCCAGCAAGCGCACGGGGGCTGACAGTGTCTGTCAGCAGCCACAGCCTGCCGGCCGCTCGACCAGCATACTCTGGGGCTCCACAGCCCACCCCCAGCAATTCAGAGAAGCCGCCTCTGAGCTGGACGGACGGCCGACAGCTGAGGAGGCGATGCAGTGGGTTGTGCCTGGGAAAAGGAGAGCATGCAAGGCCAGGAGGGATGGGACGGGGGGGGGAGGGAAACCAGCCATGCTGGGATGGATCCAACCATGTGGGACCTCGGCGAGTTAGCAAGCGGCTGGTTGAAGAGGGACGGTTGCCATCTCCGGGGCATAGCGCGCGTGCCCACAGAGAGGGCTCCCGAGTGCCGCCTCTGGCACGCGTGCCATAGGTTCGCCGCCACTGATTTTAGTCCTTCCATTTTGAAGTTCACTTTATTAAAAGAGTCTGATCTGGCCTGAGCTTTTCCTCGCCCTCGAAATGCCTGGATTCTGAACCGAGACGCTTTTGAGGCCTTGACTTCTGGTTCTCTTCTTCCCCCTCAGGCTACGAGCTCTCCAAACTTGAAAGCACCGTGGGATCCCCCGAGAAGCCCCTTTCGGACCTTGGCAAGCTGAGCTACCGCAGCTATTGGTCCTGGGTATTACTAGAGATCCTTCGGGATTTCCGAGGCACCCTTTCCATCAAGGATCTCAGGTAAGAGGAGGTTTGACTATTAGTCAGTTTTATAGAACTGTTTGTAAAATGTAAATAAAAGCCCTTGCGGCACGGTGCTTAAAGCGCAGTATTGCAGACGAACTCTGCAGCAGCCACCACATTTTCCAGACTTACAAAAAAGAGTATGGCTTAATAAGAAGTGGACAGAACATACAAAGGTCCAGGTCTGTAGAGCCTGCGTCTTGAGCACCCTCTTGTACTGCAGTGAGTCTTGGACTCTTCACGTACGGCAGGAGAGAAAGCTGAACACTTTTCATATGTGCTGTCTCCGACGTATTCTCGACATCACCTGGCATGACAAAGTCCCAAATAGCACAGTCCTGGAAGGTGCTGGAATCTCTAGCATGTATACACTATTGCAGGGGTGTCAAACTCAATTTCATTGAGGGCCGCATCAGCATTGCGGTTGCCCTTGGGGGGCCGGGTGGGTGCGGCCTACTGGGTGGGCGTGGATGGAGTGGGTGTGGCCTGCTGGGTGGGTGTGGCCAGCTCTACATCGTTCGCGTCAAGGGTGCCTGGGGGGGCCTGGGCAGGAGTGGGACAGATCTGAGTGTCTCTGGCAGAAGGGGGTGGCAAGGCATGGTCCACTGGAGGAGCCTCACTGTTTCTCTCAGGCCATGTTGGGGGGGGGCTTATGGAGGCAAAACCAAATGTGTTTCAGCATAGATGGCCACCACAAAATTGTACATTGGCTCCCGGCCGGCCAGGGCCAAGGCAGTGGGGGCCGTTCCCTCACTGTTTCCAGGATGGCTTCGCGGGCCACATGAAACCACTTCGCGGGCCGCATCCGGCCCCCGGGCCTTGTGTTTGACATGTCTGCACTATTGAAACAGCGATGCCTACGCTGGCTTGGGCATGTTGTGAGAATGGCTGATGGTCAGATCCCGAAAGATCTCCTGAATGGAGCACTAGTGCAGGGAAAGCGCCCCAGAGGGAGACCTGAGCTGCAATATAAGGATATCTGCAAGAGGGACCTAAAGGCCTTGGGAATGGACATTAACAGCTGGGAATCCTTGACCTCTGATCATTCAGCCTGGAGGCTAAAGATGCAGCATGGCCTTCTCCAATTTGAAGAGATACTGGTGCGGCAGGCTGAAGCAAAGAGGCAGTCCCAGAACCAGCGAAATCTGGGGGCTGGACAGGGGAAGGGACTGCCCTTCTCCAATTGGCCAGATGCTGCCTTAGGACCTCTTTCCAGAGCACAATACCATAGTCCAGTGATGGTGAACCTTTTAGAGACCGAGTGCCCAAAGACTGCCCCTGCCCCCTGCCCCGCCCCCCATCTCCCGCCCCACCTGCCCGCAGGGCCACTCACCGCCTCCAGGGCCCGCCGCAGATCGCCCAGGCAGCCCAGCAGCACTATGGCAGTCACGCCCTCTGCCGGCGCCCTGCAGCATCAACTGTGCACGATGGGGCGTGAGGGCAGAGTCTTGTCTACGCTGCCTGGCTGCCATGTCCTTGGCTGCGCTGCTCCGCGTGGGCCACGCTCAGGGGCGACTCTCCTTCAGGGGGGCTGCTGGAGAGGAGGGGGTCACGTGGGGAGACGAGGCTGGGGCAACGGCACGTGTGCCCACAGAGAGGGCTCCGAGTGCCGCCTCTGGCACCCGTGCCATAGGTTCGCCACCACGGCCATAGTCTCTCGAGACTGAAGGATGCCAATAGAATAGAATTGCAGACTAACTCTGCTCACAGCCTGGAGTTCGATCCCGAAGGGGCTCAAGGTTGACTCCTTCTGAGGTCGGTAAAATGAGGACTTAGACCAGTGGTTCTCAACCTGTGGGTCGGGACCCCATTTGGGGTCGATCGACCATTTCACGGGGGTCGCCAAGCAAGGCTGTCTGCCATTTTTTTTGTCCGCCATTTTTTTCCCCCTTTTCCGGCGGGTGCCTTACCTCCCTTGGGCTGGGCCAGCTGGTGGTCGGCCTGCTCCGTCTCTGCCGCTTGCCAGCCTCGCCTCGGCCGGCGCAGGGGGCGGAACCACGCATGGGCGGCGCTCCCGGGCAGGGAAAGTCCTCGACTTACGACCAGTTGGGTAGTCCTCGACTTACGACCGGTTTAGTCCTCGACTTACGACCGGTTTAGTCCTCGACTTACGACCGGTTTAGTCCTCAACTTACGACCAGTTGGGGTCGCGGCATTAAAAAGGTTGAGAACCACTGACTTAGATTGTTGGGGGGAGGGCAATATAACCGACATTGTAAACATTCCAACCAGCAAAGTCAGTGGGGAAAGCCAGATTTGCTTCATGACCACGCGGCGCCCTTAAAACAATTGCGGTGATTCGCTTAACCCACCATGGTAAAAGTCACCAAATTGGGCACGGCTCAACGGCGTACAGTAAGTGAGGCTGGTGCTGAGGGAGGACCGCGTGCCCTTCGGTGGCATTTTGACGGTGGAGCAGCCTGGATTGAGCGTTAATGAGGCCTATTTGAAAGGACTCCTGACCTCCCCTTACCTTGGACTCGTTTCCAGCTGACGTTGCGCATGTTGTTGTTTCCCTTGGCACAGCCAGATGACGAGCATCACGCAGAATGACATCATCAGCACCTTGCAGTCCCTGAACATGGTCAAGTATTGGAAGGGGCAGCATGTGATCTGCGTCACTCCCAAGTTGGTGGAGGAGCATCTCAAAAGCGCTCAGTATAAGAAGCCGCCTATCACAGGTACCGCCGGACGGGGAAACGGTGGGCGGGACGCCCTAGTGATTAATCGTGCTCTCAAAAAGTCTGATGTGCGGCGTTAGATCCGCACGGGCTATTTAACGTGGTGGTGCTCCTCCTCTTTCTCTCTTTGCCTGTGTACAATTTCCAGATCTGCAGGGAGAGCAGAACTGAAATCAACTCCTGCCAGATTGTTAACATTTGCTAGATTTAACTTCTGGGCCTGCAGTCCCCAACCTTTTTTTTTTTTTGTCTATGCAGTTCTTACAATAACTGCATTGTCTCTCGCTGACTTCCTTTTTAAGGCCACATGTCACCACCTGTTGCTTCTTCAAATTCCCAGTTTTAACTGTTCTCATGCTGGTGTTTTCTGTCTTTTTAGCTTTCTTGCGCGGGTGTGGGTACGTCTGTTTTTTCTCTGAAACATATGTACGTAGTCCTCAACTTAAGAACAGTTCATTTAGTGACCATTTGAAGTTACAACGGCACTGGAAAATGTGATTTATGACCCTTTTTCACAGTTACAACCTTTGCAGCATCCCCCTGGTCAGGTGATCAGAATTCGTATTTATGACCTTCACCTGATCACTTTTGGCGACCTTCCGACAGGCAAAGTCGGTGGGGAAGCCAGATTCACTTTAACAGCCTGGTTACTAACTAATCAACTGCCGTGATTTCACTTAACAACTGTGGCAAAAAAGGGGCAAAACTCACTTAACAAATGTCTTACTTAACAACAGAAATTTTGGGCTCAGTTGTGGGTCGTAAGTCGAAGACTGCCTGTAGTTTTTCCTGATCTTTAGTGCTCTAAAGTTCCTGAGAGCGATCTCTTTAAGCCCTAATTTTAATTCATTTAATGACCATTCAAAGTTACCACAGTGCTGGAAAAAGTGACTTATGACCAGTCCTCACACTCGTGACCATTGCAGTGTCCCTGTGGTCCCTGTAATTAAAATTTGGGCACTTGGCAACCGGTATGTATTCACGAGAGTTGCAGTGTCCAAAGGGTTGCGTGATTGCCATTTGTGACTTTTCCCTGGTGGTTTCCAAAATCGAAATCAACGGAGGAAGCTGGTTACGGTTAATGTCCGGGTGATTTGCTTAATGGCCGTGGTAGAAAGGTCGTAAAAAGGGGCACAACTCGCTTAATGACTGCATTGCTTAGCAGTAGTAGTTCTGGTACCAATTGTGGTTGAGGGCTACCTGTAATTAATTCAGTTTCCCAATTTTTCCTTAAGCAGCATTCTTAAGAACAGTTGTCAGGAATTGGGTATGTCTAGTTTAACGAAGAGAAGGAGGAGGGGGGACATGATAGCAATGTTCCAATATCTCAGGGGCTGCCACAAAGAAGAGGGAGTCAGGCTATTCTCCAAAGCCCCTGAAGGCAGGACAAGAAGCAACGGGTGGAAACTAAGCAAGGAGAGAAGCAACCTAGAACTAAGGAGAAACTTCTTGACAAAATGATTAATCAGTGGAAGAGCTTGCCTCCAGAAGTTGTGGGTGTTACATCACTGGAGGCTTTTAAGAAGAGAGCGGACACCCCCTTGTCTGGAATGGTATAGGGTAGTGATGACGAACCTTTTAGAGACTGAGTGCCCAAAAACTGGTCCCTCCCTGCCCCGCCCCTACCCCATTCCCTACCCCGCCTGCCCACAGGGCCACTCACCACCTCCAGGGCCCTCCGCAGATCGCCCAGGCAGCCCAGCAGCGCCATGGCGGCCACGCGCTCTGCCTGCGCCCCGCAGCATCAACTGTGTGCGATGGGGCGTGAGGGCAAAGTCTTGTCTACGCTGCCTGGCTGCCATGTCCTTGGCTGCGCTGCTCCGTGTGGGCCACGCTCGGGGGCGACTCTCCTCCAGGGGGGCTGCTGGTGAGGAGGGGGTCATGGGGGGAGGCGAGGCTGGGTCAATAGCACGCGTGCCCACAGAGAGGGCTCCGAGTGCCGCCTCTGGCACGTGTGCCATAGGTTCGCCACCACTGGTATAGGACAGTGATGGCAAACCGTTTAGAGACCAAGTGCCCAGAAAACAGCCCCACCCCTGCCCTGGCCCCCGCTCTGCCCCTGGTCCCACCCACCCCGTCCCCACCTGCCCTACCCCCGCTCCGCCGCCGCCCACCCCCAGGGCCACTCACCGCCTCCACGGCCAGCCGCAGATCATCCAGGCGACCCAGCAGTGCCATGGCGGTCACGCCCTCTGCCCGCGCCCCGCAGCATCAACTGCACGAGACGGAGGCACGAGGGTGGAGTCTTGTCCCTGCTGCCCGGCTGCCACGTCCTTGGCTGCGCTGCTCCGCACAGGCCGTGCCCGGTCACGACTCTCCTCCCGGGGGGCTATTGGGGAGGAGGGGCCGTGGGGGGAGGCGAGGCTGGGGCGACGGCACGCGTGCCCACAGAGAGGCCTCCGAGTGCCGCCTCTGGCACGCGTGCCATAGGTTCGCCACCACTGGTATAGGGTCTCCTGCTTGAGCGGGGGGGTTGGATTGGAAGACCTCCAGGGTCCCTTCCAACTCTGCAGTTCTATGTTTTATTCTTCACCTACGTGTGTCTGGGGATTCTCCTCAAGCTGTTGCCGACGCTGAACGCTGCTTGCTCCTAAACGTGTCCTTTTAGTTTTCCTGACTCATGGAACTGCTTTCCAGTCTTGGCTGTGCCCTTTAATCCCAACTAAACTGACATTCCTGGATTCCTTCCAAGGAATGGACTTCAAACTGTTCAAGTCTCCAAAGCAACTGGTTTCATTTGCCCTGCACTAACCCGGGGAGTTAATACTTAACTCCCATAAGCTAGCCGGGGAGGATTATTTATTCAGTTTACCGTATCGGAATTGCAGAAGAGGTGCTGAGAGAATGGTAGCCTTTTATTTGAAGCCTATTGCAAGTGATGTTCATTCGCAGGGCGAGATTGTTTTTTTCGGGCAGGAAGCGTTGCACACACACACCCAAGGAAGAACACAGCAGCCTAGAAAAGAGCACATCTCTTTTGATATGTGGTGGGACATAAATCATTCGGCAGACCCTGGTGTGTACTTCTGGCACGCAGTTCTTGTCAAGAGTTTCCAGTCATAGCTGGATGTTTATCTAACCTTGGCTCGGCTCTATACCACCGCAGTTTATGCACACCTGATCTTTCCTGTTTTGCAGCCCAAGCTGCGGTATAATATCAACACAAATAAACTGAAATATTTGTGCGTTATAAAGTGCAAACATTTCAATGGCTCTTCACCACCCTATAAAGCCGTTTCCTCAATTAAGCCAAAGAACTTCAATTTATTGGCAACCATGCCCGGTATCTACTAAGAGTCATCTCGGGAAGAAGTCGAGATATTGCAGGTTTTTGCTGAAAGAGGTATTGTTATTTTTCCCCCCAGGGAGCAGATGACGTTGCGGTATCTGTCGTTTATGTAACAGGAGCTGCAGGGAGATTATTATTTGGACCCCCTCCCAGATCTCTTTCCTTTTCAAAAAGCGGCTCGGTCAGGAGCTGCCTGTTGGGAGGGGCACGAGGGTTGTGAAGCTGGTACAAACAAGGCATAAACACTTGCGCAGTGGCCTGAATGACCAGGAGGGCCTCTTAAATCAAAAATGAATCTGCCCTGGCCCTTGCAGGTAGTCCTCAACCTACGACCACAACGGAGCCCAACATTTCTGTTGCTAAGCGAGACAGTTGTTAAGTGAGTTTTGCTTCGTTTTACAGCCTTTCTTGCCACAGCTGTTAAGTGGCTCACTGCAGTTGCTAAGTTAGGGACACGGCTGTTAAGCAAATCTGTCTTCCTCGTTGACGCTGGTTGTCAGACGGTCGCAAAAGGTATACCACAACCGTCATAAACATGAGCCAGTTGCCAAGCATCCAAATTTTGTTCCCGGGACCTTGGAGATGCTGCAACTCTTGTAGGTGTGGAAAATAGTCATATGTCTTTTTTTTTTTTAATGCTGTTGTAACTTCAGACAGTCCCTAAATCAGCAGTTCTCAACCTGTGGGTCGGGACCCCATTTGGGGTCGATCGACCATTTCACGGGGGTCGCCAAGCAAGGCTGTCCGCCATTTTTTTTCCCCTTTTCCGGCGGGTGCCTTACCTCCCTTGAGCTGGGCCAGCTGGTGGTCGGCCTGCTCCGTCTCTGCCGCTTGCCAGCTACGCCTCGGACGGCGCAGGGGGCAGAACCACGCATGTGTGGCGCTCCCGGGCAGGGAAAGTCCTCGACTTACGACCGGTTGGGTAGTCCCCAACTTACGACCGGTTTAGTCCTCAACTTACGACCAGTTGGGGGTCGCGGCATTAAAAAGGTTGAGAACCATTGCCCTAAATGAACGCTTGTAAGTAAAGGGCACACCTGCCTTTGTGTTTGCTGTTACTAGTCCAAGGCATAATTTTATTCAGGGTGGTATCTGTTGCGCTTTCTCTAATACTCAATTTGATTAACCTGTTGAATTTTCATCAGCCTACTCAGGAATGACACCCATGCCCATGATATTTGAAATAGTGATGGACTTTGTTTGACTGCTCTGCCCCTTTTCCACTTACCTGTTCAGACCCATTAAGTTTTCTTATTTCCTCCCCCCCCTTTTTTTTCCCCCTCTCTCCAGTGGATTCTCTCTGCCTGAGATGGGCACCTCCTAAACACAAGCAAGCCAAGATTTCCAAGAAGTGAAGGAAAAACTGACTTGAAAAACGGAAAGGGTTTGGCTTCACATCTGCTTTTTTTATTTTGGAAGATGTTCACTAATTTAACATTGCTGTCAATCTTGTACTGAAAAGGCATACATGGATCAGGTGGCTTGGGGTTATGAGAAACACCTGAAAATAGGTGGGTTCGTTTGAACGAAGACTACTTATTTTATCCCTCCCCCTTTTTTTTCCTGTTGCTCGATATAGAACTTTTTCTTTCTTTCTTTCTTTCTAAACTTGGTGTCTTCTCTAAGTCGGAACTGGTATCCTCATTCGTATCATAAAAGGAGCAGATAAATCATTTTATTATTTCTAATTGACAGTTCTAACTGACTTTGGGATGTTACTAATCCCAGAATCAAAGCAGGTCATTCAGTATGGCAGAACTGTGGCAGAACGAGACCTGAGCAGTAAATAAACGCAGGGATTGGCTATTTGAAGAGCACATAGTCAACAAAAGTTGGGAGGCCGTGATTACTAACAGTAATACTGAAAACTAGATTATTGATTATCATAAGAAGGAAGATTGACGTCTCCAAAAGAGATCTCCAACTTAATTGAAATATTGAACAATCAGCCTTGCTCAGCATTTTGAAGAGAGAAAAAAATCTGTGTCTTCTGTAATTCTTGAGAAAATGGTCCCTCTTGGTAGATCTGTTGTCGTTCTCCATCTCTTCAAAGGGAGGCAAGTAGTTTGTACATTCTATCAAAGCTCATACATGTTCTTAGTTATGCTAGATAAGTAGCTTGAATCCTTCCACTGTCCCACGGCTGTTAGCCAAGTGGGAAAAGAGGGAATGTTTTCAAGTAGTATCACTTGCTCCACAGTCAACATTTAAGGTCAATGCTGACAAAAATATAAGATGTATTAGAGTTACAATGCTTGGTAACCCGTAGCACGAGAGTCAGGATTTGGGGGTTAAAGACTCAGGAAAGAGGGAAAGTGGAAATAGGCACATATAAAAGTCCTATGTCCCTTCCGAGGTTGTTCCATAGTGCAGTGTTGGCTTATATGATGTAACTAAAAGGAATTTACCAATTCCTTTTACAGTGCCTCAAAGTAAATGGCTCTTTCTAGGAACAAAACGTTGAACGAGAGCGGGGGGGGGGGGAAACATGCTTTTAAATTTAGCTGCCCTTCTAAAAGACAGCCTTTACCCAGATGAATGGACGAACTCCGGATTGGAGAAAACTGACTACAAGGCTATGGTAGAATTACTTGATATTTCCCCCTTCCATGGCGTGAACCGCATTTGGTGGTGATCAAATGAGGGACTTTTCCAAAAGATCAAAAGTCTCTTGAAGCAATCAAGTGGACCGAAGAGAAAAAATTGTCGCTATTTACGCCACCGGTTTCCGCTGAGGTCCTTGCCTACGTTCGGTGTTTTGGGGGAGAGTGATTTGGGGAGGGACCCTGAGGCTTGTGGTGGATGTCTTGGGTAGAAACATCTATTCACAGAGTTGCTGTAGTTTTTAATGTGTATACCATATATATATAGTGTGTTCTGCTTAAGAAATATTTTAATAAAAAAAAAACATAACACAAGTACTGTGCCATTTTATGACTAATGTACCAGAATTACAGCTGATCTTTAATGGTGGCACAATGAAAAAACTAAATGACAAGGAACGACCCTGGGAGAGGTAAACTAGAGAAAAGATCCTTCTAAAGAAGAACAATCCCATAGCAGGAAATGAAGACGGCTTTGTATCAATAAGCTTAGGTCACAGAAACTACGTCCTTTTCACAACAGGTAGTTATCACTTGTTACCCTGCTGTGAAGGGGTTAACTAATGCATCTCTTCCTCATTTCCACAAGGTTTGACTAACAGTAGCATGCCAAGATGTTAAATCGTCCTAACAGTCAACCTTAATGAAGCCTCACTTGCCAAATATGACTGGGTTGTTTTTCTTGATTAGCTTGGGTCTGGTGACAGTTTTGTGTAAGAATTGCACGTCTATCATAATCCCAAACTCTTGACCAACTCATGCCAAGTATTCATTGTACAGCTCAGGTGAGAAGATCAATTGCATGAGTCATTACGCTTGGCTGTAGACAATCCAGATCCCGGTCGTTTGGCATCTACTTCCTGCATGCCTTTTGGAGAAGTCTACCTGTGTATCTTAATGCCCATAAGCAACTGCTTCGCAATCTGTAAATTTTCTCTAGTTCCCCCTTGACGTTTCTTGTGAGATAAAAACCCACAAAGCTTCCCTTTGGTAATAAATAAACGCCGTTATTAGTGTAGAATTACCAATTTACTTTATTAAAACCCTTCATCTCGAAAGCAGCAACTGATTTCAATCCTTCCTTAAAAGATGATGTGTACATTGCTCTTTTTTTTTTTTAAAGTGTGTGCAAACATAAATTATCTAAATACAATTGCAACCCTCTCTCCCCCCCCCCCCCGAGGGCAATTTTGATCATCATTGATGTTCCCGCAAAAGAGTCCCACTCCCTTTCATCCGGCGTCCATGCTGGCAGCATTTTTGTCCAAGCATACCTGGGGGGAAAAAGCAATCCCCTTCATCTCCTTCACATCGGGAGTCGTACTACTCCATAAATCTGTCAGGCTGACAATTGGTAACACAGAACGAAAACCCGCCGGGATGGTTATCTCTGAACTGAGGTGTCCACACACAAGAACAGCCCAGAATCTCTGCTCTCAGCCTTCGCCCCAGCTTGGAGGGAATTCCTAAATTACACAGCGGAAACATCCAGAGGCTGCATTTCCACCCCTGCACAATTCCGGCTTAAATCGGGGCAAAACCCACAAGGCTAGCAGCATGCGCAGAAGTGGGCCTAACCACCCAGCCAAAGATCAAAAGGCAACAGCTTGGTTTCAAAGTCCCAGCACCTCCGCTGAGTCTTTTTTTTTTTTTTAATTCAGTCTGTGAGCCAGAAGGAGGGGTGGGTAAATACCAAGTCAGAGAGGGAGCCCAGAAGAGAGAGAGAAATGAGGGTCAAGTAAACCAAACGTGGGTAGAAGTGGCCCTATAGCAGTGTTTCTCAACCATATTATCCCTTTTTCAGAGCTCGGTGGCTGCGCTGTACTTAGCCAACAGTGTTCTTGACCTCTTCCTCATAAGCTGAGACCATAACAGAGTCTAAGAGTAGACCTGCTAACCCTGTGCAAATCCCCCATCCTCCCAAGTTACTAATGGCATGATATACTTGGCAAGACAGGGATCTTTTTAAGAGGGAGACATTTTACGTTAGGGGCCGTTGTGCTGCTCTCTGAACTATCCAGCTGGGCCAGATATCCGAACGCGATCTCAATTGAATGCTAAGGAAGAAAGGATTCGGCTGACTGATTTCTCTTCAAAGGGCTCGCTCAACTTTGGTCCTCTGAACAATGTCCCAACTATTGCGGAGGGCCTTGCCTTCACGGCAACAGTCAGGAAGGCTACACATTCACATTATGAGCAGGCAAGGAGGAACTGGGCAAGGAAAGGAACCTGTCTTGAAACCGATCACGTTTCAAAACGTGTGCCAGGAATGCAATTGGAGAAGAGCGCCAGATACTCAACAGAGAGAGATGAGTCATACCGTTCCGGAATTTGCCTAAAAAAGGAGACTAGGCTCCCACTGACTTATGAAATTAGGTCCGCAGTAGCAAAAGAGAGGTTTATTACAGATGTGTATCCAGCTATGATTTTTAAAAAAGGCCAAGCAAGTCGTGGGCAGTGGGGAAGGGGCAAAAAAAAAAAGAGATACTCCCGGAAATTATGAATTAGAAATCATATTCCTAAGCTGGCTCAGGAATTCTGGGAATTGAAGTCCACGAGTCATAAAAGAGCCGAGGTTGACTACCCCTGAATTAGATCCTCAAGAGTAAAAAACCAGGGATAGGAGTGAAGTGTGAACTTTTTAAAAAAGCCACATGCTAGACCCAAGACCGCAGGTGGATTGACAAGAGGCACGCGCGATGACCACCTCAGGAGTCTGTCTGGGCTTCGGAGGAAGAGTACCGCTTCCTAATGGAATCCCGCTGCGTTCTCCGCACCCCAAGCGTGCAGAGAGAAAGCTGGAAGCACACAGCAGGCGATGAAATAGTGAGACCATCCCCAGGAGGATAAAAAAAAAAAAACAGGAAGACAACCACACTCCCTGCACAACTTGGGGTGGGAGTAGAAAATTACCACAGCCAGCTCTGGAAGAGGAGGAGGAGGAGAAGTGGTAGACCAACCATGCAGGCTCTGGAAGGGGAACCGTTGGGAGGGCTCTTGTCCGGGGTAAGGGGCCGGTTCCAGCCTGGTGAGGGCTGGAGGTCGTCATAGGGGCCTCCCCCTCCTGTAGAATTGGAGCACAAGGCCTCTTCGGGGGTGGGCCTTGGAGGGACTGTCACTTGTTGAAGCTGTACTTCTGGGACTTTCCCCTTAATCCAGTCGGTGTAGACAGGAAGGCGGATGTAGACGCCCGGTCTATTGGCGGCCCCACAGTTGTCTCCCCAGCTCACCACGCCAGCCAGGAACCAGGCCTTGTCAACAAGACAGGAAAGGGGGCCTCCAGAATCACCCTAAGAAAAAAAGGAATTAAAGTCAAGTTGGGGTCTTTTTGGGGGGGGGGACAGAGAGTTGCAAAGGAAAAGAAGTAGGGACTCCGTAAGCATGCTGTTTGACAATACGAAGAGGGATCGAAAATGGAGAGCGGTTGCAAGCAGTGCTTTTCAAACCGGGTAACTTTTTAAGATGTGTGGACTTCCAACTCCCAGAAATTCTCAGCGCTATGGGAATTCTGGGAGTTGAAGTCCACACAACTTAAAGAGTGGCTAAGGTTGAGAAATGCTGGTCTAGCCTAAAGCTCTGAAAAACCCAACTGTTTATTAGCCTCGTTTGATAAAGAAATGCTTTCTCGTGCAATCCGAGTAAAATGACTGAGAACTCCTGCAGTTTTCAGGACCTCGTGTCCTACCACCATCACCACCACACTTGGCCAATGAATGGCACCCCCAACCACTTCTCCTCTCAGTGGCCTCACCTGACAGGCATCCTTCTTGCCTTCCGCAAAGCCAGCACACATCATGTCATTGTGGAGGGTGTGGGGCTCCTCAGGATCTGGGTTCCTTCTGTACAGGCACTTGCAGGTGTCTAGACCAATGATGGGCACTTCGAGTTGTTGAAGTGTCATAGGTGAGGGAAGACTCGCTACAGGGAAGGAGACAGTATAGCGTCAGTGTGGAAGCAAGGCCTCCCGAAGGATGTATCTCAAAGCGTTAAGTAGGAGGGACAGTCTTCCCTTGGGTGGGGAACCCAAACTAAGAAATGCTAGATTTCAGAACTTCCTGGAAGCCAAGTGGTCCTCCTCTACAACTGCTGACCAACCTCAGGTAACCAAAAGAGTATCTCCTCCTGGATTAATCCAACGTGGTTCTTAGCCCAGCACTTTCTCTTTCCCAACCAGATGTCGCTGGAAAGCTTCCAGAGCTAAGCCTGACTCCTTCTGTCATTACATCACAGCTACCCTTTATAGACTCCCTGTTTCCGACCCAGAAATAACATTACGTCTTCAAGACCACCAGTTCTTGATGGAGCTATTCTCCCTGAATGTCCCCAGTCCCCATCCAGTCCAGTAACCATCCCCATTCTTCTGGTAATGGACTCTACAGATCAATTATGGGCAGCGTGAAGAACGCCCTTTCTTTTCTCTATTCTAAATCTCTTCCCAGCGTCATTAGAGTCTTCCTGATCCAACTCTTTCCAGAGAAGAAGACAATCTCCCTGTCCATATTCTCCAGGCCATACGTGACTTCCTATACCTTGATCAGTCAACATTTTTCCAGGCTAGACCATCCCAAACTGTTTCTTTTTCTAAAGCCTTTTCCTGTAAAGGAGGCATTCAGGCATTCTGAATGTTGACTTACATTCATCTGCATTTTCCCATTAATGGCTTCAAACTATTGTCTAGGACAGTGATGACGAACCTTTTAGAGACCGAGTGCCCAAACTGCAACCCCAAACCCACTTATTTATCGCAAAGTGCCAGGGTTACATCAGCATTGTGGTGCCCTCGGGAGGGGGCAGGGAGGTGCCTCTTAGTGCCGCCTCTGGCACGCAAAAACTGGGGGCGCAAAAATGGGCCACCGTGCTGCAAGGCGCAAAAACGGGTGCTGCCGCACCGCGGGGTGCAGATACAAGGTGCTGCACCACGCAAGAACGGGGCAGGGCTAGTGACTATCACGCAGGCACTAGCCCCACCCCATTTGCAGCACGTGCATGCTCGCGGCCCCGTGCACGCATGCACGCATGTAAAATGCTTCCCCCTCCCTTTTCTTCCAGTCCACCAATCGACAATGGTTGGTGACCTCTGCTCTACCACCTCTACTCAAGCTTGCTAGTCGGCCGCTTCACCTCCTTTGTGCTGGGCGGGGCCCCTGCTCCGGGCGGCGGGGGCGGCCTGATGGACCTGCTGCTGGTGGTGGCGCGTGTGCCAACCGAGAGGGCTCTGAGTGACGCCTCTGGCACGCGTGCCATAGGTTCACCACCACTGGTTTAGGAGAATCTGGCACTATAATTTCTGGCAACTAGGGCTGTTTGCAACTCCTCAAAGCTATGATTGCCTTCTCTAGAAGTTTTCCAACTGCTGCTCTGTTTTTATTATCCGTGCACTACTAAAATTCCCCTGTTCATCTGTTTGTAACCTTTAATTGGGCAAAGCAGTGCATCGTAGGGCAATAATTTTTTTCTTAATTATCCTACCTCGAATGAGCTAACTTAAAGAAAGCATCCAAATCCAGGACCTATTATTCTGTGGGATTGAGATTTGGCCAAGTCACAGGATTGCCATTTCCAATGCTCCCTGCCAGCTTCCCCACCGGTCATTGTGGGAAACCGGCAGAAAGTCGGAATTTGCTCCCACTGTTTTTCTGCCTGCCAATGGTCATTCTGTTTCTCAGTTTAGTTAATATCTCTCACACAATAACCCAACCGGTTCATGGATTGTCAATGATCATTATTACTAGAGGATGTCTTCTTTTATTGTTTTCTTTTACATATTTATACCCTGGCAAGCTCCTCTTATTTTTGATTTTTAAAAAACGGTTCTTCTTCTTATTGTTGTGCCATATCTGTTATCGGACGTTGGCGATCATGTTGGCGATCCTGTTTTTATCAGCAGCTGCACGAAAAAGTGCTACTGAGTTTTGTCCCAACCAGTCCCTTAGATTTTGAAGCCATGATGTTCTTCTTCTGCCTGGGCCTCGTTTGCCTTCAGTCTTTCCCTGGAGGATTAAATGGAGTATGCCGTATTTTTCTGGGTGTCGCATCACATGTCCGAAATATTCTAATTTTGGGTTTTTAATTGTTTGGATGATTTCCCTTGGCTTTCCCAGGCGGCTTATCACCTCATTTCTGATCCTGTCAACCCAGCTTATACGTTAACAGCCGGCTGTAAATCCACCTTTCAAACGCTTCTAGTCTCTTCAGGTGGCCTTCTGTCAGAGACCAACTCTCTACTCCATAGAGCAGGATAGAAAAAATATAGCATCTGACAAGCCTGATTTTCAGTCTTAGGCTTATGTCATGACTGCAGAAGACCTTTTTCATTTTGAAGAATGCTGCAACCGTCATAAATGTGAGTCGGTTGCGAAGCATGTCAATTTTGATCACTTGACCCCGGGTATGCCACAATAGTCGTTAAGTGTGAAAAATAGTCCCAAGGCACTTTTTTTCAGTGCCATTGTAACTTTGGTCACTAAATGAACTGTTGTTAAGTCAAGGACTACCTGTAAAATGTTGGACACCCAAAACCAACTGCTCTAATATTAAACTGGACAAACATCATTTGGGATAAGGAGGGAAGAAAAGTAAATCCTGAATGTGGAAGAATTTGCAGCAAGGGAACCTGCATTAGATAGAAACGGTTCACCATTTCAGATATATCAGCATCCTTGCATACTTTGGGAAAGCCAAGGGAAATCATCAAAACAATTAAAAAACAAAAGTTAGAATATTTCGGACATGCAATGCGACGCCCAGAAAAATACGGCATACTCCATTTAATCCTCCAGGGAAAGATGGAAGGCAAACGAGGTCCAGGCAGAAGAAGAACATTGTGGCTTCAAAATCTAAGGGACTGGTTGGGACAAAAGTCAGCAGCACTTTTTCGTGCAGCTGCTGATAAAAACAAGATCGCCAACGTGATCGCCAACGTCCGATAACGTATATGGCACAAGAAGAAGATGGCATCCTTTGGGTACAACTGAAGCTACAAGCGCCATATTTATCCCGCTAGCTGGTGAGAAATTCTGGGATTTATACTACCACACCACCCAAAGGCGCTAGGTTTGGCAAAGAATAAGGATTACAGCCCTAAGTGGAATCTTTAGATAAAAATCTTTTGTCCTTACTAGCTGCAAGAACATTCCCCCAGCCGGTGACGGTGCAGGTCATGCCCTGCGGGAAGGTGACTGAAGAGGCAGGCAGGCAGATCGGCCGGACAGTCCGAGAATATGTAATGGGGGTTTTGAGTTTCACCAGGGCAATGTCCCCTTGAGAGCCTGCATCTTCATTGAAGTCAGGATGCTTAATCACCTCTTCTACTAGCGTCACTTGGATGTCTGGTGAGGGGTTTTTCAGCTGGAAGGACCCCAGTGTCACTTCATACATATCGATCGGATTCACCCTGCAGAGAGGAAGCTGGTTTACATCATTTCTGAGATTCTAAGACTGTAAGATCATCCCAAGTGCACTTTGATCCACCCTTCTCTTTCCAATGAGTGTCAAACAGATTCCCTAGTTCAGGGGTAGGCAACCTTGGCTCTTTTATGACTCGTGGATTTCAACTCCCAGAATTCCTGAGCCAGCCATGCTGAGGGGAAAGGGAGAGGTTTCCAAGCTGAGCCAGGCTGGCTCAGGAATTCTGGGAATTGAAGTCCACCAGTCAAAAAAGAGCCAAGGTTGCCTACCCCTGCCCTAGGAAGTAAGGCAATAATAATCTACCTTTTTCCCCGCAATGTTTAAATATATCCTACTTCTTAACAGTAAGACTGCATCAAGCTAGTATGACACATAGCCACAAACTGAACTGTACAGGTAGTCCTTGACTTACAACTGTTCATTTAGTGACTAGTCGAAGTTACAATGGCACTGAAAAAAGGGACTTATCACCGTTTTTCACACTTACAACCATTGCAGCATCCCCAGTGCCGTTGTAATCTTGAACGGCCACTAAGCAAGTTGTTGTAAGTCGAGGACTACCTGTACTTTCCTACTACTACTTTGCTCACAACCAACCTTGGAGGTGGCTTAGGCTGAGAGAGAATAATTGGCTCAAAGTCACCCAGCCAGCAATAATAATAACAACAACAACGTTGGAAGAGACCTTGGAGGTCATCTGGTCCAACCCCCTGCTCAGGCAAGAAACCCTATACCAGGGGTCTTCAAACTTGGCCCTTTTATGACTTGTGGACTTCAACTCCCAGAATTCCTCAGCCAGGTACGCTGGTGAGGAATTCAGAGAGTTGAAGTCCACAAGCCATAAAAGGGCCAAGTTTGAAGACCTCTGCCCTATACCATTTCAGACAAATAGCTGCCCAGTTTCTTCTTAAAACCTGGAGCTGGAGTTAAAAAAAGGGCTGGAGCATTCACAACTTCTGGAGGCAAATTGTTCCACTGATTAATTGTTCTAACTGTCAGGAAATTTCTCCTTAGTTCTAGGTTGCTTCTCTCCTTGATTAGTTTCCATCCATTGCATAGAATAATAATAATAATAGTAAAGTTGAAAGGGACCTTGGAGGTCATCAAGTCCAACCCCCTGCTCAGGCAGGAAACCCTAAACCGTTTTGGACAAATGGCTGTCCAGTTTCTTCTTAAAAACCTCCAGTGTTGGAGCATTCACCGCTTCTGGAGGCAGGTTGTTCCACTGGTTAATTGTTCTAACTGTCAGGAAGTTTCTCCTTAGTTCTAGGTTGCTTCTCTCTTTGGTTAGTTTCCACCTGTTGCTTCTTGTCCTGCTTTCAGGCGCTTTGGAGAATAGCTTGACTCCCTCTTCTTTGGGGCAGCCCCTGAGATATTGGAACACTGCTAACATGTCCCCCCTCATCCTTCTCTTCATTAAACTAGACGTACCCAAATTCCAGCAACCGTTCCTTATATGCTTTAGCCTCCAGTCCCCTAATCATCTTTGTTGCTCTTCTCTGTACTCTTTCTAGAGTCTTAACATCTTTTTTTACATCGTGGTGACCAAAACTGGATGCTTATGACAGGACTAGAACTCACAGTCTCCTGGTTTCTAGCCTGGAGCCTTCACCACTAGACCAAACTTTCAAGAGATACTTGACTTACTTGGGGAAGCAATGTGCAGCTGTAACCAACCACTGGGGGGCAATGAGGGTTGCCCCACAGGCATGATTACCATTGAAGTTCAGGTTGGCCTGCCATGGCCACTGTCCGCTTCGAGCATCAGAACCGCCCACGATCCGTCCCATGGCAGGCACTCCACACAACACTGCAGACAGATGACATTTTCATGAGTGGGGGAAAAAAAGTCATTCTAGAAGTCATTGCGTTGCCTCATTCATTGTTGGCCGTCAAGTATAGCCGTGGGATAAATTAGGAGTATGCTTCTGTTCCAGGGGAACTTAATAAGAAATATAATCAACAGCTAGGAAATCTCTGTTCTTTACTTTAACAGCGCCTTCCTGTTTTTATTGCGGAAAAGGTAACACATGGAAGCACATGCACGTAGTTACTTCAGTCTCGAAGGCCAAGAATAAATAAATGAGACTCCCATTTTGAAAAGTCACAGAATTGAGGATTTCCATAGAAAGAAGTATGATCATTAAACTATGATTGTTAGGAACAAAACCAAATCAGGATTTGAAGAGGGGAGGGCAGAGTTCAATTAGCCAGCAGGAAAACAGGAAAGGTAAGAGGACAGGTGGAATGTGCAACGTTCACAAATCTCTTACCTTGTGTGCTGGCCTCTTTCATGACTGCAGAATAGAAACAGGAACAAAACATGAAACAAAAGGGGAAAAAAACAATATTAGAAGGACATAAAGACACCTTGTAATGTCTCGGTTATGCTTCTTGTTTATGAAAAGTGGTTTATATAAACCACTTTTCATAAACAAGGAGGACACTCCTTTTCCCATTCCCATACAGGAAGTCCTCAACGTACAGTCAGTTAGAGTTATGGTGGAGCTACCTGAGTGTACTTACAACTCGGATGCAGCTTTTCAGCGAACCACTGCTTCAGTTAACAACCACTTAATGACCATCACATAAAGTCGTAAAGTTGGATTTCTCACGTGGGTAACCCAACTGACTACGATCACAAGTTATAACCATGATGGGAAAGCTGCATCCTGACCTAGGATCATAATTGAGCCCAAAATTTCTGCGACTAAGCGAGAGACTTCTTAAGGGAGTTTTGCCTCATTTTACGACCTTTCTTGCCACAGTTGTTCAGTGAATCCCTGCAGTTGTTAAGTTAGTAACACGGTTGTTAAGCGAATCCGGCTTCCCTATTGACTTTGCTTGCCAGAAGGTCACAAAAAGGCGATCACATGACCCCGGGACACTGCAACCGTCATAAATATGAGCCAATTGCCAAGCGTCTGAATTTTGATCACATGACCGTGGGGCTGCTGCAATGGTTGTAAGTGTGAAAAATGGTCATTAAGTCACTTTTTTCAATGCTGTTGTAACTTAGGATGGGTACTAAACAAATGGTTGAAAGTCAAGGATTGCCTAACTACACCTGTAGTGCGTTGCTTTAATGTACACAGGAAGTCAATTTTCCCTCGATTCTATTAGCCGTGTGGCCTTAACTCAGACATGTCAAACACAAAGCCCGGGGGCCGGATGCGGCCCGCGAAGTGGTTTCATGTGGCCCATGAAGCCATCCTGGAAACAGTGAGGGAATGGCCCCCTCTGCCTTGGCCCTGGCCCAGGCCAGCCGGGAGCCAATGTACAATTTTGTGGTGGCCATCTATGCTGAAATGCATTCAGTCTTAGCTCCACAAGGCCGTCTAGAAACAGTGAGGAACCAGCCCCTGCCGTGTCAGCCCCGCCCCCTGGGTGCATGCTGGGGAGGTGTCACCCTTTGTGAGGAATGAAGAAATGGACCATGCCTTGGCGCTTTCCCCGGTCCCACCCCCTTCTGCCAGAGACCCTCAGATCTGTCCCACTCCTGCCCAGGCCCCCATAGGCACCCTTGACGTGAACGATGTAGAGCTGGCCATGCCCACCCAGTACCCACATCCACTCCATCCATGCCCACCCAGTAGGCTGCACCCCCCCTGGCCACACCCACCTGCCCCCCCCAGGGCAACCGCAATGCTGATGCGGCCCTCAATGAAATTGAGTTTGACACCCCTCTTAACTCTTTGATCTGGTCTTAATTTGGGCCCAAAGCTGGGCCACAACTTTTCTTTAGAAGCATCTTGGAGAAAAATGAATTGAGCACACTACACCAGCGGTTCTCAACCTATGGGTCGCGACCCCATTTGGGGTCGATCAACCATTTCACGGGGGTCGCCAAGCAAGGCTGTCCTCCATTTTTTTCTCCTTTTCTGGCGGGTGCCTTACCTCCCTTGAGCTGGGCCAGCTGGTGGTCGGCCTGCTCCGTCTCTGCCACTTGCCAGCTATGCCTCGGCCGGCGCAGGGGGCAGAACCACACATGTGCGGCGCTCCCGTGAAGGGAAAGTCCTCGACTTACGACCGGTTGGGTAGTCCTTGACTTACGACCGGTTTAGTCCTCGACGTACGACCGGTTGGGGTTGCGGCATTAAAAAGGTTGAGAACCACTGCACTACACCTAAGAACTCGCTCAGGATACCTTCCCAAGCCCCTCTGCCTCGAACAGCGGGGCAACGGGTGGAAATCCAGCAGAAGTCTCCTTGAAGGAAGCTGCCCTCATCCCGTGCATTCTGCCTCTTTCACAAGGTGCAGGAAACAGATCATAAAATATAAAGCCGCAACCATTTCTAGAGCAAAAGTCCCGCAGCAGACGGTATCAAAGCCCGTGTACTTTTCATTTTAGAAATTACACCAGGTGATATCATCAAAGTGACAGAGAGAGAAAGGTGATTTCTCGCTGGCTTTTCCAAGGTTTCTTCCTGAGGTTGCGCTAAGGAATCTGAGTCAGTCTCTTCTCTGCTCCTGCCCGGATTTCTCTTGCGGCAACTCTGCTTCCTGAGAATTTTATTTCCTGACCTGCGAGGCTACACCAAGCCAGAATGCGACAACTTGCCAGGGCCGACTCACCGCGGGACAATTCAGTAATTCAATTTGATTATTTAAAATTATTTTAAATATTATTTTAATTTTTGTCGTTCGGACTTCATTTTGTCCCGCCTTTTGGCATCCTTTCTTTGATGATTCTATTCCACCATTTCTTCAATATTAGTGTAACTCTTCTCCCGTGGTGAGTTGGCCATGTCGAGTTGTCCTAGACCAGGGGTAGGCCACCTTGGCTCTTTCATGACTCGTGGACTTCAAATCCCAGAATTCCTGAGCCAGCCTGGCTCAGCTTGGAAACCTCTCCCTTTCCCCTCAGCATGGCTGGCTCAGGAATTCTGGGAGTTGAAGTCCACGAGTCATAAAAGAGCCAAGGTTGCCTACCCCTGGTCTAGACCCCTACCAAACTCCTCTGAAGTCCATTTCAGTTTCAGCGGCATCAGGAACATAGGAAACATGGCCAAATCTCCTTCTTCTTTGCTCATTTCATCACTAACCCTATCATGCCCCACTGGCTGAAGGCTGCACCATGATAAGCAAAATTAAAATCAAACAAGCAGATTAAAGACCCAAGGAAGAAGGTGCATCAGCATACAACAAGGGCACTTCTGAAGCCCTGTTTTCAATAGTCAATCTCTCAAAAGCAGTTTAACAGAATAACAGTGTTGGAAGGGACCTTGGAGGTCTTCCAGTCCAACCCCCTGCTCAGGCAGGAAACCCTATACCAGTTCAGACAAATGGCTGTCCAATCTCTTCTTAAAAACCTCCAGTGTTGGAGCATTCACCGCTTCTGGAGGCAGGTTGTTCCACTGATTCATTGTTCTAACTGTCAGGAAATTTCTCCTTAGTTCTAGGTTGCTTCTCTCTTTGGTTAGTTTCCATCCGTTGCTTCTTGTCCTGCCTTCAGGAGCTTTGGGGAATAGCTTGACTCCCTCTTCTTTGTGGCAGCCCCTGAGATATTGGAACACTGCTATCATGTCACCCCTAATCCTTCTTTTTATTAAAGTAGATGTACCAAATTCCAGCAACCAGTTCTTTATATGTTTTAGCCTCCAGTCTCTTAATCATCTTTGTTGCTTTTCTCTGCAGTCTTTTTAGGGTCTCAACATCTTTTTTATATTGTGGAGACCAAAGTTGGATGCAGTATTCCAAGTGTGGTCTTACCAAGGCATTAGAGAGTGATATTAACTCTTCTCGTGATCACTGAATCACTCTCCTGAATCACTGCCCTGTCCCAGTCCTACATTGTCAAAATATCCTCTCAGCTCCACTCCACGCAAAAGTGAAAATATATTACTTATGCACATGCACCTATCCACATCCTTTTTTTTGTTATATGTATTTATTTTGTTTTATCAACAAGAATTAAATGCAAAACAGAAAAACATACATCCAACAATAAAAACAAAAAAGGGGGGGAATCGTGGACAAAAAGGTGGGATTGTGGACAAAAGGGGGGGAATGACCCAAATAAATCTAAGATCAAACATAATCCACCCCAGCTGGATGCTGAAAAGAAAAATAAAAAAACCCTGATAGATTCTCCTCCCCTTACATCAGGGGTTCCCAACCGGGGGTGCGAGAAGATATTCCAGAGGGTGCGAAAACTTGGGTTTAGAAATTTCAAAATTATAGTGTATATGCATAATTCGTTGCCGTTATTTCAAACTTTTGTAAGGGGTGCGAGAATATATCAGAAGCGTTCTAAGGGTGCGGGGTATAGAAAAAGTTGGGAACAAGTTTTATTAAGTTTTTCAATTTTTACAACAAAGTGCTTAGGAAGCAACGTGGTGATCAGGTAATCAATTATCCAAAAAACCAAAACATTTATATATAAAATGTTCTATAAAAAAAAATAAAAGAAAAAGTTGGGAACCACTGCTTACATAATGGATCTACAGATAGTTATAAGCTTTCCCATCCTTATTTAACAAAAATACTATATTTATTAAATAAATGAATATTCCAGATGAGGGGATCTCTATCTGATAATCAAATCAACCACACCCATCCACGTCCTTATTTTCATATCATGTGTATCATGATTGGTTTCTGCATGTGCAATACAAGAACATTCCAGAGAATTCCAGAACATCCGTTCCTCCTCAGAGGGGAGCTTCCCAATTATTCTGAGGGTGGTTCAGGCCTTCTCCAAAAATTATCTTCTCTACCTAGAAATGGTTTGTGATGCCCGGGATAGGGGATAGGTTTTGCATTAACTAGCCTTGTTCTATGTGTAATACACACATCACAGCAAAATGGGCGGCAACCAAATTGAATAGATAAATAAACAACATATCTAAACAGTTCTTAAGAAGGGGAGCTGCAAAGTCACCAAGCAAGCCCTGCAAAAGTGGCCAAGGCTCAGAAGATGGGAGTTGAACTGAGGCAGAATTCTTACAAATGGAGAATGAACCCCCCCCACATCCCCACTTCATAGAGTCATGGTGTTTCAAAGAAAAAATGAAAAGAAAATGTTATTTTTTTTTCCTGTTGTTTCAACTATTCCATTGCTGAACCACAAATAAGTCTGAGGGGTTCCTTGTTGCTCTCTGAGTTCGGTTGTTTTCTTGAAGACATTTCATTACCCAACTAAGTAACATCATCAATTCTAGCACTGAATATCATCATACCTAGCACTAATGAGATTGGATTAATAAAACATCTGCAAGAAAACCACCAAGATCAGACAGCACCAGGGATCCCACAGTTCAGCCTTGAGCCACAAATATTCTCTTCTATTGGTATA